GGCGGCGGTGACACGCGTGCGCCCCATTACAGGCGGTGTGTACTTCTCCTCCTGTTTTTTTTTTTTTTTTTTTTTTTTTAAAGACAGGACCTCACTCTGTTGCCCAGGCTATAGTGCAGTAGTGTGATCACAGCTCAGGGCAGCCTTGACCTCCTGGGCTCAAACGATTCTCTCACCTCAGCCTCCCAAATAGCTGGGACTATAGGTATGCAGCACCATGCCCAGCTGATTTTTAAAGTTTTTGTAGAGATGGAATCTCCCTGTATTGGTCAGGCTGGTCTTTTAACTCCTGGGCTCAAGCCATCCTCCTCCTTTGGCCTTCCAAGGTGCTGAGATTTTAAGTGTGAGCCACTGTACCTGATCTCCATTATTTTGAGTAACAAAGTCCTATTTGAGGTTGACACAATCTGTGTCAATAGTAGTTTTGGATGCTTATGGAATCACTTGATGAAATGAGTCTAAAAAGTCAAGCAATGAAATGGAACAGTTTTGAGGTTATGACCTCACATTTTCAGGTAATGGTACTCAAAATCTTTCAGAGATCATTTTAAAAAGTATTGTTGTGAGTGAAAATCATTAACATACTCATTGGATTAATGGAAAACACCATCTTCCTAATGTTAAAAAATTTTATTTCGTTGTTACTTGGGATAAAATATCCAGTTATAGTATCATACAGGAATTCAGTAAATGTTGTATCTGAAACAACTTGGAAGTTAAGATTATGTGCTGTGGAAAACCAGGTGACTTAAACAGGATTTAATGATGACAAAGTTGCTGATATTAAAGATGGAAGTAGGCTTTTGACTGTATTGAGAGGGGCACCTTATACAGACAAGAAATTTTGATGTATGAAACTCATCTTATCTCTTTGCTTTTGGAACAGCTTTATATTCCTGAGTGTGGTGTGCTCAGCCAGGTGGGATAATGTCAAAGCTGGGAGTGACTGTAGAGATGGCTTATTCAGGGCTGGCCACCTTTTTTCCTGCCTCAGCATACTTGAGCAGGTTAGGTTATTTTCTGGCAAAAAACAGGCTCCCAGGACAATTCTTGGGAGATAAGGGAGGGAGAGAGTGGTATATAGATTTTGAAGAGGCCCTAACTGCACAGTGATTCTACTCCTGTGTGTGAGGGGGCAGGGCTGTTTGGACAGATGACATGTTTTTTCCAGTGTCATGGAGCTAACCCTAGAGCTGGAACCAGAACCGTCCACTTGCTCCCTGTGCCAGTTTTCATTTTCTCAGCCACATCCTTTCCTTTTATTGTTTTTTTACCCCTTTTTCTTACTATTTTCAATAGAATTTTAAATGTCATATGTTTAATAAGATGAAAACTGCTGATATAAATCAAGAAGCAGTCTTTAAATTTTAAATGATGGTGCATTTACGGAGACATTATTAACTAATTTAGTTCCTTTTTCTGACTTTTGACATCACCTCCTTTTTCCACTTCATCATGGCTTGGAACCGCTGAGTCATTCTTGGGTCCAGCTGTCTCTTATCTGTTGTCCATATTGAAACAGGTTTTTAAGTCCTGTCAGTCTGCCCTCATAGTGTCTCTTCATGCATCGTCTCCTTCCTTTCCTTTTCTGACCTTTCCCTCCTGAAACGTTCTTACTGTCCCACGCTTGGGCTGGTACAGAAAGCAGCTGATCTCTATTTGTGGTTCTTCCCGGTTCCAGTCCACCTTACTCATTTGTTCTGTCATTTAGCACTTGCCAGGTACCATTTTAAACAGTAACTCTTTTCTGTTCTTAATACTTTTGAGGTTTAAGTACTGTTATAAACCCATTCTCCAGATGGAAAGGGAGGTATGGATTTAACTGATTTACCCAAAATGACACAGAAGCTGGTAGCTATCTAGTAAATGGCAAAATTGAATCCAGACTCCCTAGGGTGTTGATTGCTATAGCTAAACATGAAACTGGAGTTGTGCCACTCCTTGCACACTTTATCTGGCACCCTCTTAGGCTGTTCTACAAAATCCAGTGTTTTAACTTGCCATTCTTTTTGCCCAGCCTGCCTTTCTAGCCTTAACTTACCCCTCTGTCTATATTCTATTTTCCAGCCAAATGTGAGGTGACATTTAAGCTGCTACTTGAAAGAAAAGTGGAAGTAAGGGAATTGTGTTTGGGGCAGAGTGAAGAGTGTACTTGAGAGAGTGTGGAGGTGCCTTGGAGGAGCTGGAGCCTACAGAGGTCCCGCAAGAACAACGCAAGAGGAGGCCGCAGGTGGAGGGAGGCGGGTGCCCGATTGTAGAATGCTTTCTAGTCGCCCTCCACAGGACATTTTCAGGAGCTATTCACAAGATTCATGGCTATCATGCTCTGAAATTTGGTGTGAAGTTCATTTTTAGGTGGACTCCTTATTTAATTCCGCTCTCTTTCGGCCCAGTCACCCCTTGGCCAGTTTTCACTGGCAGTGAGCAGGCCGTTTGGAAAGGATGTCCTCCAGCAGTGGTGTTTCCTAACCCTGCCTCTCATTCCCCTCTGAGATCAGTTTATCTTCATTCGCTCACAGGTGTTCAACAATCTTGTCTTTTATGGGGAGTTTCTAATGTGTCTTGAGTACTTTCCCACCCCTTTTATCTTGGAGGCATGGTTCAGAGTGGAAAAGGGCCCAGACCCACCTGCCTCTGGCCTTCCTACCTCAGCTAGTGTGCTTAGGGCTGTGGTGGAGTGCTTGACCTCTTTTTGTGTACAGTTTAATAAATGCTGGAATAATGCCACCTAATGCATAGGACTTCTGTGGGTTTAAGGGCATACTGAAACAAGTTGGCATAGAATAAGAGTTCAGTGAATGTTGTCACTACTTTTTAATTGTGAAAAACTACTCACAAATTCTGTAGTAAAGGGTCATAGAAACCTGCTTTATCCATACTATCGTTATTGAGAATACTTTCTGGTTTGGAAAAATCTGCTTGTTTCAGAGGTAAAAAGAAAATCTCATTGCTATTTATTTAATAGACAGAGTCTCACTCTCTCGCCCAGACTGGAGTGCAGTGGCGTGATCCTGGCTCACTCCAAACTGACTCCCAGGTTCAAGTGACTCCCCTGTCTCAGCCTCTGGAGTAGCTGGAACTGCAGGTGCATGCCACCACACCTGGCTAATTTTTGTATTTTTAATAGAGGTGGAGTTTTGCCATGTGGGCCAGGTTGTTCTCAAACTCCTGACCTTCAAGTGATCCACCCACCTTGGCTTCCCAAAGTTCCGGGATTACAGGTGAGAGCCATCGAACCTGACTGTTATTTGTTTATTTACTTACTTTTTGCCTACCAGTAGGTTTAGAAGTTTCTCCATATACTTGCTATTTTTTTTTTAACCTGGTTTGGGGATGATGGGAAGAGGAGATCTAAGCGTTTTTAATTGTATTGTTAGAGAGCTTTCTTTATATATTAAAGATGTCATGCAACTCTTTGGACAGTAACATTTTCCATACTATTTTGGTTTAGTATGGAACTGAGATAAATATGTTGACTGCTTTTAGATAAGATATACGGAAGAGGGAAACCTATGAGCTTTAAGAGTTTATTTGCTACATAACTATGCTTTTAACAAAGGGCTACATTTTATATTTATTAAGTTTGTATAACCACTATTGAATGTTGTAGGGGTTATCACAGAGTTTAAAATGAGGAAACTGAGGCCAGCACAAAAAGATTAAATGCCAATTTATTCAGCTTCCAGGTGAGGTTCTGTGGTCTTGGGGAAAGAGGCCAGGGAAGTCACACCTGACTCTTCTGGGCATGGGGTTTTATAGGGAGTGTGAAGGCGTTTGATTGGTTGCGGGGAAACAGGGCGTGGTTGGGGCAGGCTGCTATGGGTAGGTAGGGGGGATTTTCTAATGGCGGGCTAGGTGCCGAGTGCAGAGCTTAGTGTTGAGTGCAGAGGGGTTGGCCAAGGCGGGCTAGGTGCCGAGTGCAGAAGTGGGCGTGTCCGAGCTCCTGGGGAGGCAACCGGCCTTACAAATGTTACTTAGCTCTATGTTTAACTTATTTTATTTTATTTTTTAGAGAGGTTCTTACTCTGTCAGCCAGGCCGGAGTGCAGTGGCACTATCTCAGCTCGCTGCAACCTCTGCTTCCCAGGTTCAAGCGATTCTCGATTCTCATGCCTCAGCCTCTCTACTAGCTGAGACCACAGGCCTGCACCACCACAATCGCCTAATTTTGTGTGTGTGTGATTTTAGTAGAGATGGGGTTTTGCCGTGTTGGCCAGGCTGGTCTTGAACTCGGGGCCTCAAGTTATCCACTGCTTTGGCCTCCCAAAGTGCTGGGACTACAGGCATGACCCATGGTGCCCCACCTTCTGTGTTTAACTTTTAAAGTGTCTTTGGTCAGTTGAATATCTTGCCTATTGGGTATTTTTAAATGGAAAATTTCTGTAAATATTCAGTGTTTTAATTAGAATCACAAAGCCAAATGATTGCCTCATTGGATAATTTTAAGTATTATGATGCAATTCAATATAGGTACCCAAGTACTTAACTAGACTTAAAAATATCTTGTATGTTTAACAGCTGTTTAGCTGGAACTAAAAAAGAGTGAGTCCTCTATGTGTGTGTTTCTCCACTATTCTGCCTGGGATGGGAGAAGGAAAAAGTTATTTTTTCCCCCTTGACTGCTGTTGCTGTGCCTGCTTTAGAAGAAGGCAGAGGTAAAGATCAGGGAAGGCAACTTTCTTTCCAAAGAAACCTTATGTGCCTGAAACTTAGTAACATCTTCAGATACTTCTTAAAATAGCCTAGTTATGGCATAGCTGAAGGTGGTGGTAGGTTAAGTAACCTGCCTGTGTTACATTCCTGGCTGCCTCTGTGTGTTCTGACCCTACTACCCTAGAGGGGCAAACAGCTAAGCAGGCACCTTTCAACCTTTGAATGGTTTCATAGTTTTTCAGCATTTAGATATGTTGTTTCATTCCCCCCTTTTTGTACTTATGGGTGTCTTGGAAGGCAGCTGTAGTATGCCTGTCGGCCGGCTAGACAAAGTTATGGACAAAGTGGTTGTGGAGGAGGGCATCTTTGGGTAATTTACAGGTTTTTTTTGGGGGGGGGTATGTGTGTGTACGTACATATGTGTGTGTACATACACATATGTTAGTATTAACATTTAAAAAATTTTTACATAAATAGTATTTCACTATCTTTTTGATTTTGAAAAAAATGAACTAAGTTGAACTCTAACCACCATTTATTAAAATATTTCTTTTAAACTCCAAACAGAGGCTCCAGATCGTCTTTCAGGCACAACCTTTCCTGTTCTCTGGCAGCTCTGTGTGTAACGTTTCAAACCCAAGGGAGAGGAGTACTTTGGGTTTACACGGTTGAGGGTGGTGATGAATCCTCTCATTTCCTGTGTGAGGAGGCTGGCCTGTTTGTTGCCATGCCCCACCAATGCTGGGGCCAAGGCAAGCAAAAGGGGACGCTCAGGTCCTAGCCTAATTCCTGTCTCTGTAGAGCAAGCGGAACTTTCAAAAGTATTTCTTTTTTTTACCTGTTTTGTAAATGAATATGCTAAATTTGCATGGTGCAGAGGAATCTGAGCTATAGAGAGCAGGCCGAGGACTGTGGGGCTTCATAAAGGGCATTTTGAGCAGCTGGAGACCTGTGGTTATCCTGTCCAGGCTCTTCCCCTGCTCTCCTTAACGTCCCATAGATGCTTCTGATCTGGGAGGAATTGAAAGAAGACCTCGTCTCCTGACTGAAAGTGGGAAGTGGCAGTCACTGAATGCGCTTGCTGTGTGTCATTACTGCCTGTCAGGCTGGCAGTTAACGGTTTTGTGTGTAGAGGATGGTTTCTAATGCTCTCTGCTATTTGCTAAGCCATAAATAAGGATATACCGTCTGACAAGCACTATAATAGTATGTAGGGCAGCTTTGAAATCAAGACTGTCTGATAGCCTTAAGCTGTGGTCACTGTCATTTTTCCTCCTCTTGAAAGACATTGGACTCTGAGGATCTGGCTTACCGTCATGTTTGGTGGACAATTGTTTATTAGCTTGCTTGAAAGAATTAGTTCATCTGTTATAATCACTGTAGTGTCAGTTTGAATGACTGGAGCCATTTTTGTAAAACTTGTGAAATCTTTATGTATTTATGAAAGTTAAACTTACTGAAGGCCGAATGACTGCAGTGAAAGTATGAATCCTTTAATTAAATAAGTGGTTAGCATTTATATAAGCAGTCTAATCAGGACCCCAAATATTTGCTCATTTTCTTTAGGACTAACCTGGATGCCTGATGGAGTAATCGTCACTGTCCTGTATAGATCTTCTAGATTTTTCAAAGTACTTTCAGTTTCACAGTGGTGGCAAATTTTGTTTGTTTATTTAATTATTTAGGGGGCATGTTCTCAGTTTAGCCTGATTAGTTAACTGCTGAATGAATAATGCTATTCTAATACCCTGCTAGGAAGAAATTTATGTAATTCAAATTCCGATTTATATGCAACATTCTGTGTTTTTATTGAGACATGATACTGCCTGACAGGGCTGCTTCAGCAGCTGTCATCTGGTTTGTTGTTTCTTGTGTTGTTATCTAGACTTTGCTAGCCTAAAATCCATTCTTCTCAGTGCCTCTGCAGGGCTGTCCAGTGAATCATCTAAAATTAAACTTTCATCAGAAATAAGTTTGCTTTTTGTTTCCCCAGAGGACTGGAGTGAGTGGGCTTGAGAATACCTGCATGCAAATTAAATACAGATATAGATATAGATACAGATGTAGATATAGATAAATATTTGGGAGCATTAGGCCAAGTGCCAGTTAAGTCAGGAAGGATGCAACCATAGTTATGAAGATAAACTTTTTAAATTGCATTTGCCCAAACTTAAGCATGTTTGTGAGTATTTTGTACAAGTGACCGTTATTTTAGTTGCCATGTTAGATATGCTGCTTTCTTGAGCATGGATTTTTTTTTTTTTTTCAGTAATAAGGTTTCAAAAGATTTTTTTTTGCAGTCATTTAAAATCAACTGTTAATTAATCATACCTAAAATTTGGCAGATTGTATGTTTTATTTATTGCAACATGTTAAGAATTTCTCGTTTCCAGTTGACATTTAAAAATCTAATGGCAGATTGATTTGTCTGTGCTCTTTTTGTTTTACTTATTAAGTCAGGCAGCAGGTACTTACAGAGCTTCTAATGTTTTAAGCCATGGGGAAGTGGTAGTCAACAAAAGGGGTGGGAGGAGTCTTGTGGCCTTCACATTCGCAGAAATGCTGCACTAGGAGGGAGACTTTGGCCTCGAACCCACTATCAGCCACCAGCCTCTAGGCAAAGTTAAAGAACTACTGGTCTTCATTATTTTTATTAAGTGGTTGGACTTGTCTAAAAAGGTTTAATTTCACCTCCAAACTTTCTCTTGAGACATTGTGTGTCTTTGTTTACCTCTCTTTTGTTTCTAAACTTCCCTACCCTCTTTGCTACATTTAATTAAGGGCTCAAAGACTGCTCAATATCTTGTTTTATAGTAAGTAGGAAAGAATTTTATTAAGATAGGTTTCGTTACTGATTATTAGTTTAAATTGTATGGGCACTATTCTCCACGTGAAAATTTCATAATTGCTAATAACTTAGTATTAGGTGGTATTATCTGCTTTATTTATTCTTACTATTTAAAATATATTATAACTTTAGGATATTAGGGAAAATATAAATTTACCCATATTATGTGTTATACTCTGTAGAATATGATAGTTTGTGGAATTCAGCAGCCATATTGGATTACTATTTTAATCCTTTCTGTGTTCCCAGATGGTATTACCAGAAATAAATTCTTGGCTTCCTATTTCAGCTGTAAGAATTTGGTTTACCTTTTGTAAACGAGAGGGTTAAGGTCCCTTTTACTCTAGGGTTAAATAAGATTTTCTGTAATCCAGTTGTTGAAGATAGTACAGTACCTCAAAAGTAATATGTGCTTGTTAAATACAGAGTGAATGAAATACACAAATCTGCATATTAGTCTCAGAGTTTCAAGAGGATTTCATTTTAAGTTATACAGTAGGTTGGTGCAAAAGTTATACATAAGGTTGCCAATAAAATGGCAAAACCACAACTACTTATGCACCAACTGAATACTTAACATTTACTTCTCCTGTCCTTTGTGCTGTGATCGTTGTTTTATTTATATGTAATAAACTCCACAATATGTTATTTTTGCTTTGAACAGTCAGTTGGCTTTCAAAAATATTAAGAAAAATATCTTTTATATTTATGTACATACATATTTACCATTTCTGGTGCTCTTTATTCCATTGCAGGAATCTCAGTTTCTATCTTGGAATCATTTTCTTTCTGTGAACGTCTGTGAACATTTTTTCAGGGCAGGTCTGTTGTTGACAAATTCTTTAACTTTCATTGGTCTGAAAGGTATTTCACCTTCATTTTGAAGGATGTTCTCACTGGATATAGAATTGTAGGTTCAAGGTCTCTTTTCTTTCATCATTTAAAGATGTTTTATTTTCTTCCAGCAGTGCAGATGGTTTCTGATGAGAGATGGATGGTTCCCCTGTATGTAAACAGGTTTTTTTCTGTCTTTGGTTGCTTTTACAATTTTTGTCTTTATCATTGGTTTTCAGCAATTTGGTTGAATTGCCTCAGTGTGATTTTTTTTGAGTGGCTTTTCCCGTCTTTTGTTTGCTTGTTTTTGTTTCCAATTTGGTTAATTTATATTGCTTTGTTTTTCCATTCACTGATCTTTTCTTCTGCAGTGTCTAAACTGCTGTTAGGTCCATTCAGTGAGTTTTTCATTTCAGTTATTTTGTTTCACATTTTTAGAATTTCCATTTAGTTCCATTTTATAGATTCTATTTATCTATTAAGGTTCACTATTCCCTTGTTTTGTCCATGTTTTCCTTTATATTTTAAAACATGTGTAATAGTGGTTTTGGTCTGCTAATTTCACTCTGTCATTTCTGAGTCTTAGATGGATTTTTCCTCTAGAATACAGGCCACATTTTCTTGCTCCTTGCTATGCATAGTGAATTGGGCTGGCTATGAACATGAGGAATGCTGGCCTGTGAGTGTCTGCATTTTGTTGTTCTCTTAAAAGAGTGTTGAATGTCATCCTGGCAGGCTGTCAATTCACTTATAGACCATTTTGATCCTTTGAGGGTTGTTTCCATCTCTGTCAGGACAGGGGCCAGCCTTTACTGTAGGGCCAGATTAGCCCTAGCCCTAAATATGGATTTTCTGGGTCTCGGTTGAATGTTTGTTGTGTCTATTGGGGCTTTTCCACTGTAGCTGGTTTTGAACACTCAGTGCCTTCCATCCAGTATTGTGAATTCTAGTAGTAGTTCAGTTCACAGTTCCCTGCATCCTGTAGTAACATGTATTGGCCACTAGAGGGTAATAAGAAATCAGTTCATTTGTTCTTACTGGATCACTGTTACTAGATAGCCCTTATCATTAGACTTTTTGCATAAAGTCATTGGCTACTTTCACTTTAATATGTATTCATTAAGCAGCTTCTGTGGAGCTAGGCACTGCACTGTGTGCTTAGGGTATACAAATGAGTAAGAGCAATTGACTGAGCAATAGCTCTGGCCCGTGCTGTAAGACTGTTCTCTGCTTCTGATTCAGGAGCCCCTCATTTAAAAAATACTGCTTTCATCCTTACCCCCCATGCAGCTCCCTCCCTCCCTCTCTCAATGATTTCTTTACAGTCTAAATATTCCTGGTGGATTCAGTTCATTCTTTTATTGCACAAATATTGAATGCAGGCCATGTGCCAGGCACTGTTCTTGGTGCTGATGATAAAAATGATGAACAAAGCTTACTCATGGACTTTCACTTACTTGCCCTCTTAATCAGGTGCCTTTATTTCCAGCCATCGTTAGAGGTGCTATTCCTTTAACATTTTGTCTTCGTTTTGGATATGTCTTGTTGCTGGGACCTTGTGGCTTTTCATTTCTTAGTGGATTCTGTCTCAGAACCGTGACCTCATAAGAGTTTCCACATTTAGATGCTATAGTTATTATTTTCATTTACTTTTTGTTCTTTAATATTGTTTTTTGATTTAACTGTTTCTCTTTAAAATCTGCTATCAATTAATACTGCCACAGGAATGGTCCCCTGTCAGCACATTTATTACAAAGAAATTCGGTTAGGTAAGCAGTATACATTCAGACCTATGAGTATAGAGCTACATGTGGGTCTTAGAGATAAAGGCTGTTGATACTAGTTTTTACTGTTGTGTGTGTGTGTATGTGTGTGTTTTAACTTAGGGTCTTTTCCCGTGCTTTCTGTATTTGCCGTTTTCTCTGTGCTTACCGTTGTCATTTTGAATCTTTTTTTTTTTTTTCGTTTTGAATCTTAAATCCTAGTCTTTGAAATCTGTTGTTTATGAAATATTTCTCTGTAGAATCAATGCTGATCCATACTGGTAATATGGCCTCTAGTTATTATAGTTCCTTGCTAGAACATGGTAACTTGACTGAAGTAAGAAAGCTGCTTCATTTTTCTTTTAGTAAAATACTTAACACCACAATTTTTACCAAGTTTAGCAAAGTTACAGAAACATTCTCCTGGTAAAAATGATCCATACAGTTCAGAAGGATGTAAAGACAGAACTCCACATGCATAATTTTTCCAACATGCTTTTCATACTGTCTGACAGCAATTTAAAATATTTTGGAACTGTACTCCAAATGATTTTAAAGATAGCTTTGAATTAAATATTTTAAGTTCATCATTAAATTATAACATTATCTGATGTTAAAACATGCTTGCGAAACTTTTTTTTTTTTTTTAAGTGGATGCTTGCTCTGTCGCCCAGGCTGTAGTGCAGTGGCACGGTCTTGGCTCCCAGCATCCTGTGCTGCGCGGCTTCAAGTGATTCCCCTGCCTCAGCCTGCTGAGTAGCTGGGATTACAGGTGTGCACCACCACACCCGGCTAATTTTTTTTGTATTTTAGTAGAGACGGGGTTTCACCATGTTGGCCAGGATGGTCTTGATCCCCTGACCTTGTGATCCGCCTGCCTCAGCCTCCCAAAGTGCTGGGATTACAGGCGTGAGCCACCATGCCCAGGCCTGTGATACATTCTTAAGCTATTTTTTTTTACTGAGTTGAATAAAGATTATGTAATATGGTAGATAGCTGGTTGGACCATATGAAATTGCTGTTTTGTAGGCCAAAGTGGGTCAAAAATCTATCAGCAGTTTCATATGGTTCAGCATATGTAATTTATATGGTCATCCCAGTTATAGGATGAACTGAGTCCCTTTTTTCATTAACATTTGCATTAAAAGGGAAGATAGACACTTTACAAAAAGTAGAAACATGGTAATTTGCTTAATTATAAATCCAGGTTAACTAGAAATACGCCTGTTAGTTTTGTCCCCTTGGAATCTTATCCTAGGAGAGGAATGAATGAATGGATAACTTAAATACTTTCTGGTTTTACAGGAGGAAATTAAACTTAGGTTTATTCTGAATTTCATACACAGCATTTGCACTAAGAAAGGAGACAGTGTGTGGAAGCACACCTCGTTTACATGCCATGTTCACCAGCAGCCCCCAGTGCTGGTGGCTTCATCTTTCTTTCCTTTCACTACATAACCGGTAGCATCACTAACTAGTTATGACAGATGTTATAATAATAGCTAAAAAGGTCCCAGAAGTGAAAAACATAAAGTTTTTTCTTGTTAACTCACATTCAGATCACCCACAGCAAATTCCAAAAAGAACATAAGATTTTTTGTCACCTGGCATATCACCCTTAATGCAAGGGAATGTGTATGTATTCTCTCTAAAAAAAATCCAACTCTATAACTAGAAAAGTAAATCTGTTGGGGGGAAAAAGCCCTGTAGTGGATTGTGTAGATAGACTATAGCTTCCTTTTGGATTATCCACTACTTGTGTTGGTTGGAGAACAGCTTTCTTTTATTAAAGTGACCATTGCTATTCAAAATAACATTGGCATCATCTGATGGCTTGTTAGAAATGTTGACTCTCTGCTGGATGCGGTGACTCATCCTTGTAATCCTAGCACTTTGTGAGACTGAGGTGGGCAGATCACCTGAGGTCAGGAGTTCAAGACCAGCCTGGCCAACATGGTGAAACCTCGTCTCTACTAAAAATACAAAAATAAGCTGGGCGTGGTGGCGGGTGCCTGTAATTCCAGCTAGTTAGGAGGCTGAGGCAGGAGAATTGCTTGAACCCGGGAGGCAAAGTTTGCAGTGAGCCAGGATTGCAGCACTGCCCTCCATCCTGGGTGACAGAGCAAGACTCTGTCTCAAAAAATAAATAAATAAAATAAAATAAATGTTGACTCAAGCCCTACTGAATCAGAACCCTTCATTTTTAACAAGATTCAAAAACAATTTGCAAGCACATGAAAGTCTGACAAGTGCTGTTACAGCTTATGAATGGCATTGTAACCTCCTCAAGACTGCTGATGTAGCCCCTAAGTGTTTCTTGAATTTAATGCATGTAATTCACTGAATCTAAATTCAAAAAACGAAACAGGTATTTCCGGAGGTAGTGATAACAGTAACAATCAAGGAATTACCTGTTTCTTTCTAATTCTTTCATAGCTATCTGGATATCACAGAATTACATGTCTGTCCTTCCAGATGCATCCTTCAGTCTGATTCTGTCTATACTGGATGGTCATTTGGATGTCTTGTGAATGCAGTAGATAAACACGCAAATATGTATATGGATGAGAGAGCAACAGAATTCAAATACAAATCAACAATAGTAGTTTTGGAAGAGAGTTTAGGAAGCAGATTTTGATTAGTCAATGATGCATAATCTATTGTAATATTATAACATATAAGGTAACTAAAAAAAATATGGGGATGTGATATAAAAAATTCCAGCAAAAGGTGAGAAAGGAATAGGAACATCAAACAGTTGGAACAAATAGGTTGTTAGTGTTCATTTATAAATATAGCTCAACCACATACTGTTACAAGAGATAAATGTAAAATATAAGGAAACAAGAAGAAGAAGGTAAAAAGATGGACAAAAGACATACCATGCAAAAATTGATGGATAGAAGGCTTGGTGTAGTCAGGCTGATGTCAGATAAAGCAAAAAGCTTTACTGGAAATAAAGAGGGCAGTTTATGCTGATAAAAGGTATTATTTATCAGGAAGGTATAACCCTAAATTTGTACTATCTAGTAATACTTTAGGAGATTTTTAATACATTATTTTCGGTTACTGACAGAACAAGATGAGACCAGAAATTCTAAAAAATACACATATAAGATAGCATACTCAATAAAATTAATAAACCTTTCATGAGGCTGATCACGAAGAAAGAGAAGACCTCATTAACCAATGTTGAGGTGAAGGGGATATCACAAAAGCTTATGAGAGAAGATATTATAAGAACTTGATGTGAGTGCATTTGAAATTTAGATGAAGTTAGACAACTATTAGTACAACTTAACAGACACAGCAGGAAATAGAAAATCTGAATAGTCCTATTAAAGAAACTGGATCCTTAATGGAAAGAGCTACCCACTAGTTTTAAAGTCTTTGGGATTCACAACAGAAAAAAGACTACCCACAAGCAAAACTCCTGCTCCAGAAGATTTCACCAGTGAATCTACCATACGCACATGTAAAATCGTCATCAAATTGCATTCTAGAAATGGAAAAGTTTTTTGTTTGTTTTTACAGGGTCTTGCACTGGGCTGGAGTGCAGTGGTGCAGTCATGGCTTACTGCACCCTCCACCTCCTGGGCTTAAATGATCCTCCCACCTCAGCCTCCTGAGTAACGGGGACCATAGGCACGTGCCACCACACCCTGCTAATATTTTAATTTTTTTGTAGACATGGGTCTCACTATGTTATCTAGGCTGGTCTTGAATTCCTGGGCTCAAGTGATTTTCCCACCTTGGACTCCCGGAGTGCTGGGATTACAAGTGGGAACCACCACACTTGACCCAGGAAAATTCGTTTAACTTTTCAAAATCAATCAATGTCATTCACCACATTAACAGAGTAAATCAGAAAAGTCATCTCGTTTAAATAGATACAGAAAAAGCATTTAATAAAAGTCAGCATCTATTCATGAGGAAAAGGTCTTAGAAAACTACCAGTAGAAGGAAATTTTGTTAATCTGGTAATGGTATCTGTTAAAAACTGCAGCAACCATAATCCTGGAGAAATATTGAAAACTTCTTTTCCAAGAAAGCTGTATTTCCAAGATTGAGAATATAAGACAGTAGTGTCTGTTATCTCCTTTTTAAAATCATCACTGTACTAAAGGTCCCAGCAAGTAGAATAAGGCAAGGGAAAGAATAAGGATTGGGAAGGAAAAATAAAATTGTTCAGATGCTCAGTAGCCACATGTGGCTATTTGCTACATTACTGATGCAGGTAAATCCATTATTGCAGAAAATTGTATTGGGCATCACTATGCTATAGAGACCAATGCAGTTTCAACATCCCAATGTGGGTTTGTTTTGGTGGATTTGATGAGCTGAATCTGAAACTTACATGGAATAGCCAAACGTACTTTCTTTTCTTTTCTTTTCTTTTCTTTTCTTTTTTTTAAGAGGTGAGGTCTCTGTCATCTGGGTTGGAATATGTACAGTGGCACAGTCATAGCTCACTGCAGCCTTGAACTCTTGGGCTCAGGAGATCCTCCCACCCCAGCCACCTGAGTAACTGGAACTAGAGGTGTGGGTTGCCATGCCTGGCTTATTTATTTTTTTCTTCTAGAGATGGGGTGGTGGTGTGTTGCCCAGGCTGGTCTCAGACCCCTGAGCTCAAGTGATGTCCCACCTCAGCCTCCCAAAGTTCTCGGATCACAGGCCTGAGCCACTGTGCCTTGCCTGCCAAAACGTTCTTGAAGAACAGAATTTCCTATTGGATGTAAAAATTTTAAAGCTATTGTAATTTAGGTAATATCCAGTTCTTGAACAGAGATCTAGGTAGGTAAGTTTCTATCCAGTAGAACAGAATAGGGAGTCCAAAACTAGATCCAAGCATAAAGGGGAAAGTGATTTATGATAAAGATGGGGTTACAGAGTGAATTAGTTCAGGATCAATTGGATGTTCGTTTGGGGGGAAAATAAAACTTGATCCTATTTTATACACAAATCAAATGCAAATGGATTGTGTACTTAGATGTGTGAGATTAAGCTCAGTGTTTAGAAGGTAATAGATTTTTTCATGACTTTTGATATAAGGAAAACTTTCTTAGACTCCAAAAGTACAATGCTAGTTATAAAGCAAAAGTTGATAAAATTAAGGCCTTGTATTCATCAAATTATACCATTAAGAGAGTGGCAAGGCAAGCTGCCTATAACCAATAAGGGCTTGCTTATATTCAGAATATATTTTTTAAAATCCTGGAAATATGTAAGAAATGGGCTTGCAATTGAGTAGAAAAAATAGAAAAGCAACCTGAATGCACATTTCACAAAGTGATGTATAAATTAAATCCACACTAGAGTACCACAGCACAAATACACTTGGCCTAATGGCTGAAATTAGACTGATGATTCCATGCCATAATGAAGGAGTAGAGCATGGGAATTTTCATAAACTGCTAGTGGGAAAATTGATCGATTGGAACCAAAAAAAGCCTGGAAGAACAACAGGCCAGCATCTCTGTATATACCAAACGATGTATAACAACAATCTTACAAGTGGCAGTGTTCATAATAGCCCCAAATTGGAAATAATCCAGGTGTCAGTCACTAGTGGAATGCATAAATAAATTATCCCATATAATAGATACCCATATATTGGGATATTATAAAGCAGTGGTAATGGACAAACTACAGTTTATAGGCACAAGATGAAGCAAACAATCCTGTATTACATTAGTCTGTTCTCTCCCTGCTATGAAGAAATACCTAAGACTGGGTAATTTATAAATTATAAATATTGTAAAGGTAGTGTCCATTTCTTGAACTTTATAAAGAAAAGAGTTTTAACTGGCTCATGGTTCTCCAGGCTGTACAGGAAGCATGAAAGCCTCTGGGGAGGCCTCAGGAAAACTTTAGATCATGACAGAAGGTATTGGAGAAGCAGGCATGTCTTACCTGGCCTGCAAAGTCAGGCAAAGGGGTAAGGTGTGGCACAGTTTTAAACAGCCGTTTCTCCTGAGAACTCTTACCATGAGAGCGGCACTAAGGGGGATGGTGCTAAACCATTAGAAACCACCCTCATAATCCAGTCACCTCCCACCAGGCCCCTCCTCCAACTTTGGGGATTACAATTAGACATAAGACTTGGGCAGGGACACAGATCCAAACTGTATCACTTGCTTATATAAAATAAAAACAAATCTGGGTTTCGAGGTCAGGATAATGGTAACTTTAAGGAAGAGGACGGAGCTGTTGGTTAGAAAGGGTCATAGAGTGGTGTGATGGTTTTGTGAGACATATTCATTTTATGATGGTAGTTTAAGCTTTATGCTAATGATTTTTGTAGTCTTTTCTACAATATTGCACTACATAAGTTTAAACATAGTACATAACAGTGACATGGATAATAAAAACAGAAACATTTTTGTAAAAGGTGCTTGCTGTGTGTCACAGGTTTCATTCTGTGTGCCTATTGGTGGTATCTCATTTAAACTTCATAAGAAGGACTAGGGTTGGTATAGTTAATACCTCTGCTTCATAGTTAGGGAAACCAAGGCTTTGAATAGTTAAGAAATTTGCCAGTCACAGCCTTAGCCTTTTACTGTTTATAAGAACTTTTTATATATTAAGGACCTTAATTCCTTTTATTTATATTCCTTCCCACTTTTTTTTTTTTTTTTTTTTTTAAATTAAAAGATGGGATTTTGCTCTGTCTCCCAGGATGGAGTACAGTGGTGCAATCTCAGCTCACTGCAACCTCTGCCTCCTTGGTTCGAGTGATTTTCCTGCCTCAGCCTCCTGAGTAGCTGGGATTACAGGCGCCTGCCACCGCACCCAGCTAATTTTTGTGTTTTTTTTTTTTTTAAGTAGAGACGGGGTTTTGCCATGTTGGTCAGGCTGGTCTCAAACTTCTGACCTCAGGTGATAAACCTGCCTCGGCCTCCCAAAGTGCTGTGAGCCACCATGCCGGGCCTTTTTACTTTTTAATGTACAGATTTAAAAGCCCTCATTCCCCTCATTATTTGAATTTAGCTTTTTAATTTTTTGCTTTTACAAACAATACAAGAATAAATATGCTTGGCATCTTTGTGTACATTATTGATTATTGCCGTAATAAATTTCTAGAAGTTCTTTTAAAAAGTGAACAAGGTGGTTTTACATAATTGAATGAATGTATTTTTGACTACGAATGATAAAATGTTTAGAAAAGTTAGCCATCTTTCACCACAGTTACACTATCCTTTTACTTATTTAATAAATATTAATCATGTAGATTGGGTCAATTAAGGACTTTGTTGTAATGGAGAAAGAGAGAAGAGAAAGTAAAGTGTAAAAGCAATGCTGGGGCAGTTGACATTCCAGCTTCAGCTGGGGTGGAGGACTTGAGATTTTTACTTTGGAAAGGTCACTTTAGCTGTTTTATTGAGTAGATACAGAACTGCAGATAGACAGAATAAAGACAGAGCTATTAGGAATCTGTTTTGGTAATCTTAAGTGAGATATATGGTGATGTAGATGAAAAGGTTGTGTTTGAGTGTTCTATTAGGAGATAGAATGAGCATGACTGGATAGCTGTGGGGGACGAACTCTAACGTGAGCTCCAGAGTGTTGATTCTGGTTGACTGGGTAGAAAATGGTGTCATTCCCTGTGGAGGAAAGTAGGGTGGAACTTATTTCGGGGAGCTTTGTTCTCTTCGTTTTACAGAGTCTGTGCCATATTCAGGTAGAGACGCCACAAGATGGGCACTGGCCCCATCAACCTTTACTGCACATTGACTGGGCATTACTCTGCAGTAGTTGCAGATAACATTGGGTCATTTATTAATTGCCAGAGCTGTTCTGAGCATGTTGCATGTATTAAAGCATTTAACCTTCATAACAACCTTTTCAGGTAGACATTATTATCATTATCAGGATCTTAGGTATGCAAAGCCATACAGCTGGGCAACCGTAGAGCCGAGATCTCCAACCCCAGCAGCCTGGCTGAGAGTCTGTGCTCTTCACTGTTTATCGCCATTATTGTGTGTCTTGAAAATGGTAGAAGTCAGAAGTATTTTTGTACTGAGCAGTATGGTCTGTTGTATTGTGACTGTTAGCTGGCTCATTCAGGAGGACAGGCACTAGTCTGAGTCTAGTCATTCTTGTTGACCTGGGCTTTAGGCTTTAGTCTGTGATTACAAATTTGGCCAAATTTAAGGAGAATCTTTTTTAAAATCCTTTCCTTAAAGAATTACAGTTTATTAGATACCAAAACTTCTGTGGACCAAAGTGTTAATTTTTCATTTCTGCCATTGATATCATGATCATGATTCATTCTACCTGTGGTAATTATTGACCGTTCTTTCTTTGTGGTGAGCTTGCCAGGTCTAGATTGTCGTAGGACTGTTCAAAAGGTGCAGGGGAATCCAACAACCTCGGGTTGAGAAGTTTAGTTCTGTGTTGTATGTTTGCCTGTTTTTATACCCAGCCTTTGATTACCTGTGTCTGTGGAGAACACCATGAGATTTCACCTGGTTTGGGGGATGCTGGCGATGTTGTTTGACATAAACCTGGCAGCAGGTGCAAAACACCATCTCAGTAGTGCTCCTTTGAGTTGGTTTGTGAGGAGCTGGTCCATTGGAGGAGTCCCTCAATAATTCAGAGAGTACTTATATTATAAATTATATTGTGGTTCTTAATTGATGAAAATCTCATAGGTGAAAACAAATCTTAAAGGTTGTTGCTGTTGGCTTTTACAAAAAGATTTTCTGAATATAGGTTTATATTCATTTTAATCACTATGGATCTTTTATGCCATTTAAAACATAACTGTTGTGTTGAGTAACATGTATCTGTTTGTAGTTAGAAAGGTTTTTAATAGCAAATATCCTGAAGTTCTTAAAGAGCCATTAGATATATTAAAGGATACAAATACTAGGATATCAATACTTCCTTTAAGCCTCACTTATCTTCTTGTAGGAGGAGAGACTTCAGCATGCAAACCTTCATCTGTTCGGCTTGCACCGTCATTTTCATTCCATGCTGCTGGCCTTCAGATGGCTGGACAGATGCCCCATTCACATCAGTACAGTGACCGTCGCCAGCCAAACATAAGTGACCAACAGGTTTCTGCCTTATCGTATTCTGACCAGATTCAGCAACCTCTAACTAACCAGGTAAGTTAATGGAGTATCAGAAATGACTGTTGGAATGGCAGTTTATTCCTTAAAAATGTTGGAATACTAAGTAGACTAAGTAGACAAAGTGCTTTAATGGTTTTCAGTTTTACATGCAACGTGGGATTATGGGTTGAGAAAACATGATGTTAAGTTTGCGTTAAAATGTTTTTGTTTTTGTTTTAATTTTTACTTGTATTTCACTTAAAAAAATTCATAAAATAACCACAGTCTCTCATTCCGTAATAGAGAGGGGGAAAGTTATTTCTGAGGAATATTAAGGGAACTTGAAGAAAAAGCTTATTTTTGTGGAAAGGTGGCTAAGTTAAAAAACAAAAGTTAAGAAAAGCAGGTCAGATTCCATTACAGCAAACTTACAGAACCAACTTTGTACTATTTTAAACTACCGTTCTACATATTTGTAACAATAAATACAAAACTCCTTAAAATTCAAAAGAGATATGCAAATTAACCGTGCTATTTATTCTAATATTCAGACAGGCTATTCACCATTTTTCTATGAAGTAAATAGAATAAATGTTGAACTCTTTTGGTACACACACACATACATATTTATATATGTATGTATTTATAATATCTTGCTGAATTAACTGCACCATCTACACATTGATTTTTGGTTTGGGGAGACATACTAGTTGTAGTTGTGAGATAAAGTGTCTTGCCCCACTGATACTTGATGTGTGATGAGCACTGAAAATGGCTGCTTTTCCATGGACTTAGAAATTTGGTTTGCCATTCTTTCGTTTAGGTCTTTTATTATATCATGTGAGGATAAAAGAGTTGGGAAATTTAAAAGTATTTCTTTTCCTGGATTATTTGAAGGAATTGTGTTTTCTCTAATTCAGTTATATATATGAATGAACACTTAGCAACAACCACATAGCATCATAATTAAAAGGTGTTTTATTTGTATTATAAAATTTTGATAGGTTGGCATGATGTTTATAAAATATATAACGTGTTAATAACGTTCACAGTTAAATAGTTATACTAAGAAGAATTTTGGCAGGACCTACGATTTTCTTTTATGCAGTGAATTGATTGAGTTTAGTTGTGTGTTTGAGAATTGGGACAGTTGTTCAGAATGTCCAAATTTGGAAAGTGTTTGTGTACCAGAAGAAAACTCTCTGGAAATCTAATGTGTAGTAATAACACAATGATCCGTTTGCACTTTGAGAAAACCAAGTCAATTCAGATGAATTTTCCCACTTGTCAAAAGCAGCCTGTTAGGCAGAGTGCTGTTCCTAATGTGTTTCACAGCTGAAAGGACTGTGCTCCCATTTGTGACTTTTCCATGTGTGTGAGCAGGAGGCTGTGGGTCCAGCCCAGGCTTCCTTCTTCCTAGATACAGTGCTGTTTCAAGCCTAACCTCTGACGTCTGCAGAGGGCTAGGAAAACTTCCAGTCCTTTAAAGTCATTTTTATGGTTATATCATTTCAGTAAATAATTTAATTAGCAAAGTACCTATTTTTATATGCAACTAACTTGTATTTGGATCTTATAAAATAAGAGATATTTAACTTACTGTTTCTGTTAAAAACTGTGAAATGCTTTTAAAGATTTATGTGATGTAAAAAGACTATCTTTAAAGTAATAATACTCAGGCAAATATTTCTGCCAAAATCCAAACATTTCTGGGCCTAATAAGAGAGTCGTATTAGAGGATGCCTTTCCTGTAACTAAAGTGTGAGCTGTGTGTGAAGTGGTGTGGCCAAGTCATAGGGCCTGGCTTCAAGTTTTCAGTTGGCTCATGATCCGGTTGTAGGACTTGAGTCGGGTCATTTGGACCCTTTGTATCTGTTTCTTGGGTGTAAAATTGAGACCTCTGACTAGACTGCCCCCCCACAGGAAGTAACTTCTAGCTATAAACGTCTGTAATTTCATTATGTAATTTCCATTGTTTCTTGTTAATCATTCTATCAGATGTCCTTTAAAAGAGAAATAGATCAAAAGTAGATGTAGAAGAGAATGAATGATGTTTGGAATGCTGAATCTTTGGGCTATTCTAGTTTTCACAGTAACTTTCATAGCTCTTAAATTCTGCTGCTACCCTGGATAGGTGTTACAGATGCTATTCAGCTTTAGTAATGCTCTCAAAATAAGAAGAAAGGCAGAATACAGTGCTTCTGATTCTTCATTATGTATGAAAACATGAAGTAAATATAAATAAAAGGAAATCGTTATTATAATGGAAAACAGTTTATGAAAGGAATCCTAGAGCTTATATTAAAGAATTTTTTCAGGAAAAATGTTAATTACTGTTTTAGTTCTATAATTGATCAAAGCAGGAGGTTTGTAATCTTCGTGAAGTAAAAGGAACAAGAGATGTGAGCATTGAGGGCGGGCTGTTTCTGGTTCCCCGAGTCAGATAGCTGAGGCAGCAGGAGGAGGTCACATCAACTTCCCTTTCATTAGGTTACTCTGCTTGCAGAAGGGGTCATTCCTGCAGCTTGGTGAACTCCTGGGTCCTCTGAACACCATGGACTTACTTTTTGCTGTAGAAGGTAGAAGAGAGCTTGGTCTATTACTCTGCATTCTTTTGACATTGTGACTAGCAGAAGCAGGAAGCAGAGAAAATGTCAGATGCTTAGGGCTGGCCCTGAGTCTTATAGATGTGTAAGTAGGTATTTGGAAAAGTTGTTTTCCGTTTCTGGATATGTACTAATGGCATCACAATGTTGCAAAACAAAAATTTGGTTAATGTGAAATCACAAAGCATAGGGAGTCTTACTTGCTTTGTAGACATTTATTTGTTCTTTCCATGTATTTTGAATATCTTTATGCAGGGTGTTGTTTGAAGCACTGAGATACAAATTGGCCTTGTAGGCAGTTTGGCCAGTTGTGGACAAGATAAGCAATATTTTGTGAAGTGATAAGCACACAGCACATACTCATATTAAATGCAGAAATTTGAAAGACATTCACAGTCTTTTTTTATATAACTAATTTTAATAAATGTATGTGCTTGTTGTAGGCATACCTCAATTACTTTGTACAAAAAGCCTAAAAATGACTAAGAGGGGGTGGACTAGAGGTGTAACATTAATAGGGAGCTCCTGGCAAGAGTGTCCTTGTTAAGAGTCTAAGCTAGGCATGGACATCTTCAGCTGTAGCATTATCTTAGCTACTCTTAACCTGGCTCTGGGACCTTGGTCAAGTTCTTCAACATTGGAGACTCTGGTTTCTCATGTGTAAAATGGTCACAGGAAAAGTATTTAACTCTCTTGAGATTGTTGAGGGGACTACATGGGAGACTTGTAAAAATACGCATGCTAAAAACATCTTGTTTAGTAAATACCTGCTACTGTTAATTGTTATGAAATCACGCAGTTGACTCTATCAATGGCTTATATACTTCCTATCAACTTTTATTATAGCGGTAATGAAGCATTGCACTGATTCAGATTTTGCGAAACCTCACATTGAGGCCGTACTCCACCAGCCCAAGAGAGAGGGCTTGCTGAATAAACTACCTGCATGAAAACAATGCTGGGAACTTTAAAAAAGAAAACACATTTAAGGGAAACCTCTTTCATTACCTTAAATGCTTACAGCATTCATTCACAAAAAAATTGACTTGTTTATTACACGTATTATTTATGCATTAAGTTCTTAAGGAATAGTATAAAAATTCTGTGAACTTAGCATTACCTACTGTTTATATTTAGAAAAGTAAGGCTATATTTGACAAATTGAATAATTCACATCTTCTTAATTCTGATGATTTTTGTCAGACAAATAGTTACGATCACCTAGAGTTTTTTTTCCGCTTAAACCTTATTTGGAATTTTAAGACGCAGAGGACCACGGGAAGAGATACTGTTATTTCAGTAATTCAGTGAATTTGCCCTCTGGGTAACAACTTTTTAGAGTTTGAGTGTACATGCAGAAGAAACCAGTGTTAATGTTGGTTCACAATAAAGTGCACGTAGGTAAATGATGTTAACAATTCTATCTTTTCGGACCATGAGGATGGTGATTTTTCCTGTTCTGTGCACTGGTACAACCCTCCCCTCTTCTCTTTTTTAGTGTGGGTTAGGTTAACAATTAGACCATGACTCCACTCCACACATTTCTGCAAGGTCTTAGTATGATGTGTTTACTGTCACTCTGCCCCTCAGATTGACCTGAGTGTCCTTGGAGAGGGGCTGTGTCAGGGTCTTCTGGCTCATTTCCCAGCACAAATGTCCAGAAGAGTTGGGCGGGAGCACAAGGATGGGCCAGGGGGAATGGTTGTGATCACCTTGTTGGAATTAATTGGTTTTGAGGATCTGTTGATTGCAAGAAGCCTTATTGGGAACACTTTGACTGAGGCAAGACACTTGGTGGAGGAGTGACACGTGGACAGCAATCCAGGATCATTGACACTAGCTGTAGCACTCCTGGATGTGTGTATAGAGCGGGTGCATGCCCCCTGCTCTGTCCTCTTTTGTAATTGCTGTGGAAATGGTCTAGAAGGATGCTCATGGTGGAACCCCTCATTGTCTGTTGGATGGTGTTAAGAGCCATGAGTTGGGATCAGGGAAGGGGACTGTGAGGGCAAGCCTTGGTTAGGGGGCAGATATTTGTCAGAGGGCAGGTAGAGCCTGGTGTTGTGCGGAGCTGAATTTCTTCTCGTTAGGAGCAGCTGGAGGGAATGGGGCTCTGCTGCCAGCCTCCTTTTTTGGTGCCAGTTGGGTCTTGAAATCCTGTCTTAAGGAAGCTGAAAGTTGCCTCTGAGGGCTGAGTTTATCTTTGTCTGCTGGTTGTGAACCAGGTCAGGTTTTAGGAATAATTCAGAAAGAAATTTTCTTCGGGTTAATTGTATGATAGAGAGGCCTTGTGGGCAGCATCCTGTGTGTCTCCTAGATTGAGGTATGTCTGTAATTCCACCATTTAAATTTGGGGGACTAGGATCAAAGCCTCGGGCAGCTGGGGATATTATCTTCTGATTTCATTTATTTGTTCTAGTGATTGTCTTTGTTGGAATCCAGATGAAAGGGAACTTTGAGAGAAAATGTATAATCATCTAATGTAGATGTCTTTAAAAAAGTAGATACACGCGGGTTACAGAAGAAGGAATTTATATCAGTGCAGTAGAGTTAAAGTGCTAGTCTTTTCTGTCTATTTAAGGTGATGCCTGATATTGTCATGTTACAGAGGCGGATGCCCCAAACCTTCCGTGACCCAGCAACTGCTCCCCTGAGAAAACTCTCTGTTGACTTGATCAAAACATACAAGCATATTAATGAGGTAAGATTTGTTACAATAACGTCTATCTTGCAATACATCAGTGAGAAAAAAAACTATTTTGTGATCTATTGAAGTACCCTAAACTTTTTCGATTCCTAATTGTCGTATTGATGATTATTATGAAGACTAATGATTTAGAAATAATATAATTACAACTATGTAAAAGATATATTAACAAGGGCTGCAAAATATAAAGATAATTGTGGATAACTCCTGTTTTTTTTTAAGGTTGTATTTAATATACTGTTATTTCTTTTTAAAAATTTTTATTTTTTTTCTCTTTTTCCAAATTTTGACTTAACTTCTATCTCTTATTCAAACTAAGAAGGGGGAATAAGGCCTCTAAAAGCATATATATGTTAAAATTTTTGCTTGAAGTTTTATATATTTGTTTCTGCTTTTGCTATGGGTGTCAGGAAGCTCTAAAATATGTTTATACCTAATTACAGACATTTGGCCTAGTTTATTTGATCTGTCTATTTTTCTGTGATTTTATTGTCTTTTAAATTTTTATGTGCATTATTTTATCTCTTTTTATGATAAGGTGTCCAGAAGCTTTTTGTTGTAAGTAAAAAAGATAAAAAATAGAGCACTTTGAATTGCCTGTGTTACAACTTGGTGTTTTGCCACCAAAAAGTTTTCTGGTGTCTTGGACCATTGACTTGATTGCCATTTGCTTGTGGCTTCAACTCTGTCTCCAAAATTAATTATTAAATGAGCATTTCTGGAGAAGAACCCATGCTTTCTTTCCTCCTCCAGTGGGGCCCTGCACTCTTTCATCATTAAGGCTTGTTCTTTGCCAGCTTTAGAGCTTCTTAACTGAAAAGTTGAAAAATGTTCTTAGGTACATGCAAATTTTATAGCAATTTAATGTTATTTAATGCCAGTTTTACTACATTACAGTGGCAGTGTGGCAACATAAAATTAGCATGAACTCTGTCAGGAACATTTCTGAGTTAGATTTTGTACACATTTGTGTATTATAAACATGTTCCAGACAAGCTTGTAATTATCTGAATATATCTGATAAATTGTTGATAACAGCATATTAATTTCAGCTTGTTGCTATCTGATAAATTATTAACAAAGCTACAGTTAAACTGTTAACAGTAGCTTTGTTGCAGCTTGTTTTTAAATATCTTACCACCTTATAAAGTAGACTGTTATTGATGTTAGTCCATGCAGTATAATTTATAATTTCTCCAAAGTTAGTTTACTGGTTACCTGGACAATTGCCTATTTCACCTATTATTATTATTATTTTTTTACTAGTCTTAGAAACAGTGTTATAAGAAAAATAACTCAGCCTGTGATTAACCATAGGCTTATGGTCTTTGGGAGTGAGGGCAAAGGGGCCATAGCTGTTTTTTGTTAATCATTATATTTTTATAGGTTTAAAAACTGGTGGGCATGTCTCAGAGGGCCATTTTTTTAAGTAAAACATCAGTTCGTCTACATTTAAACTTATTTAAAAAATATGTGGCTATAAAATAAAATATAAATAGATATGTGCAGGTTACAGAAGAGGGAGTTTATATCAATAAATTCTCTTTATATCCCAAAGTTGGGATTGACTAGAAGAGGGGCATGAGAGAACCTGAACTTGAGGGAGATGAAAATGTTACAAATGCTGTTTGGCATTTGGTGATTTTGTCAAAGTTCCTCATGTAGAACTCTTAAGATGCATTCCACCTCACTGTATATAAATTATACTTTAATTCAACAAATAAATATAAACCAGGCCCTTTTACTTTTCTTGAACGGCATACTTTGGACTAGTCACTTAACATTTCTTATTTACAAAGTGTATAAACAGTATAACTATAATAAGTTTCACTGTAGACATTTTTCATTGGTTATATCAGTGATATTTTCTAACTCAAATGTCAGTTGTAGAAAATGACTTAATTGTTTGTATTTGTTACAAAGAGTAAAAATTGATCTATTTCCTACTTACAGATGTGTCTCAATATATTCTGATAATGCTCTTCCCTTCACAGTGATTTGAATTTTACAGTGAACAGTGTGTATTCTCATTTTAGGTTTACTATGCAAAAAAGAAGCGAAGACACCAACAGGGCCAGGGAGACGATTCTAGCCATAAGAAGGAACGGAAGGTCTACAATGATGGTTATGATGATGATAACTATGATTATATTGTAAAAAACGGAGAAAAGTGGATGGATCGTTACGAAATTGACTCCTTAATAGGCAAAGGTTCCTTTGGTCAGGTAACTTAATGGAAAATGCTGAATTTAATTAATTAGAAAGAACTTCCTAGTGAATTTTGTTGTCGCAGCTCTTCCTCAAGAGCATACTTTTAATATTTGCAAATAACGCTCAGCAATGGATACGCGACTATTTGGATGAGCTTAATTCTTTAAAGGTAGTAATGCGTCAATAATAAAAACTCCTTAGGCTTGTACAAACTTTTATGGCTACCAAGTACTCATTTTACTAATGACTGGTTAATTTTAATCACTAACAGATAGTATTGCCTCTTTGATATGGGCCTTGTATAGTCTGTAGATGACTGTTAGTATGCTAGAGACATTTACCTTCTTGTCTGATAGACCACTTCAAAGAGAAATGAATTACCTTGTTCAGGTGGCACAGTGGGAATCTGCTTACTTCTGAGGAGGCTTTGGAAAGCCTGGGGTTGTGCCCTGGCTTTTTCTCCCATCTCATGTTGTAACTATACCAGACCTCTAAGCAGGCAAGGCAGTCTTTAGGATTTCTTATAATCCTCAGTACCAGCATTGCTAATATTATGATTGAGTAATTTTGATGGGTAGGATCATCCAGGCAGTTTCTACCAGGAAGGGATTCCAGTGGACCTGTTTTTTTCCTCTTCATTCTCGGCCTCTTCTCCCTATCTACAACTTTCTGTTACCCACCTCCTCACCCAGCCCCATTACAAAGCACACAGCCCTGAAAACATGAGTCTCTTGCATCAGTCGCACTAATACCAAGAGCTTTTGGTCTTTCTCCTTGTACTTTATTTATTTAGAGGCAGAGTCTCACTTTTGTCGCCCAGGCTGGAGTGCAGTGGTGCACTCTTGGCTCACTGCAACTTCCGTCTCCCAGGTTCAAGTGATTCTCATGCCTCAGCCTCCCAAGTAGCTGGGATTACAGGCATTAGCCACCATGCCTGGCTAATTTTTATGTTTTTAGTAGAGACAGGGTTTCACCATGTTGGCCAGGCTGGTCTCAAACTCCTGACCTCAGGTAATCCTCTTGCCTTGGCTTCCCAAAGTGCTGGGATTTCAGGCATGAGCCACCACACCCAACCTTCTTGTATTTTTTAAAAGATTTTTCAGGTCAGGCGTGGTGACTCACACCTGTAATCTCAGCACTGTGGGAGGCTGAAGCAGAAGGATTGCCTGAGCCCAAGAGTTCCAGACCAGCCTAGGGAACATAGAGAGACCTTGTCTCTATTTATTTAAAAAAAAAAAGTTGGGGGGAATCTCTGGCTGTGGTCTTCCAGCTGTTCCCAGTTGTAAGTCCTCTATCACATTGAGTTACAGAGGTCTGTTTGAGGTGTGATTTGCTGATAAACCCAGTCTCTTCTGCCTTGCAACCCTTGTGGAATGAGATGGTTATCACCCTGAAGTCCAAATATGTCTTCTGACTTTTCAGTGATAAGGATAGAATAGGGATCAAAATGACTTTTCCTGAATTGCCTTTTTGTTGTTGTTTTTGTTTTCTTAAACTGTGGAACCTGCATGTGCTTACTTCTCTGTTCCTGCCCTGAGAGAAAGCAAAATAGACCCTCCTTTTTAACCTGTGAGAAAAAGTCATTATGTTCAGAACAGAAAGTGTACTGTATGTCATTAGTAGCCACAGGTCTAAATCCAGAAAAATAAACGCGTAAGCAAATATGAACGTTTATGTTAGACCTGTGTCATTCCAGTGTGGCCCTACCAGTCCCTGATGTCACGTGTATATGTCTCCTCCTTCTCACAATTTGAAAGATTTTTGGTAATTATACATAATCCAGGGACTTTTTCCTTGAATTACAACTTCTTCTTCTGAGGGATTTTTCAGTGCTTTGGACATCCTTTGGTTTTTTGTTTGCTTTTTTTGGTTGGTTGGTTGTTTGTTTTTAAGAGATAGGGTCTTACTGTATCACCCAGGCAGGAATACAGTGGAGTAGTGATCATGGTTCACTGGCTTGACCTCCTGGGCTCAAGTGATCCTTCCACTTCAGCCTCTAGAGTAGCTGGGACTGTAGGCACATGCCACCATGCCTGGTTAATTTGTTTTTTTTTGTAGAGGTGGGGTCTCACTGTGTTGTCCAGGCTGGTCTTGAACTCCTGGGCTCAACCAATCCTGCCATCTCAGCCTCCCACATTGCTGGGATTATAGACCTGAGCTACCACACCTGGGCTGGGAGTCCCTCTTGATGAAGGTATACCTGTTTGCCAGTCCGAAGCGGCTTCTCTATCAGCTTCTTAAGGAAAGGCATTTGTGAGGCCCAGTCCTTAACTAAAGGTGTGAACACCCTATACTGGTCCCCAACTGGGCTACATAGCAGGAGGTGAGCGGTGGGTGAGCAAGCATTACTGCCTGATCAGCAGTGGCATTAGATTCTCATAGGAGCTGGAGCCCTTTTTTGAACTGTGCATGGGAGGCATCTAGGTTGCATGCTCCTTGTGAAAATCTAATGCCTAATGATCTGAGGTATTTCATCTCCAAACCATCCACCTCACCCCTCCCCTGGCTGTGAAGAAAATTGTTTTTCACAAAACTGGTCCCTGATGCCCAAAAGGTTGTGGACTACTGCCCTAGACCTAGAGATTGCCACCTCCGCCATGAAAATTTCACTAACATTTGGGCAGTTGCACTTAATAGGTCACTTTTTTTTTTGAGGCAGAATTTTGCTTTTGTCATTCAGGCTGGAGTGCAATCGCACTATCTTGGGTCACTGCAACCTCTGCCTCCTGGGTTCAAGTGATTCTCCTGCCTCAGCCCCCTGAGTAACTGGGATTACACGTGCCCGTCACCAGGCCTCGCTAATTTTTATATTTTTAGTAGAGATGGAATTTCACCATGTTGACCAGGCTGGCCTCAAACTCCTGACCTCAGGTGATCCACCTACCTCAGTCTCCCAAAGTGCTGGGATTACAGGCATGAGCCACTGCCCTGGGCCCTAATGGGTTACTTCTAACTTTCCTGACATCTGCCATGCAGATTGTGGCCATACAGCCTGCTCTGTAAGCTGATTTGCCCCTGATGACTCAGTGTTTACACTCATAGTTACATTTTTCTTCTCTCCTTCACCTTCATTTTCTCATACTCAGATTCCACAGAAAGGTGAGCACAGGAACCCTGTGACGATAGAGGCCTGTTTGACATTGAATTCCTTTTTTCCAGGGCAGACTGATACTTCCTCTCTTGGGCTGAGGCATTGTACAGTGTCCACGTTGAGGTTCAGGTCCTGTGCCTCACCAGGAGGACAGTTCTATATTGACTTGGTCAGACTTTCCCACATGCTGTGTCAGGTTATTGTCTAGTTAGGGATTTCTCCATTTCCTTAGCCAATAATTACCAATCCTGATTGCGTATTGAAATTTCTTGGGGAGCTTACCAAAAAAAGTTCTGATGTCTGGGCTCCAGACCAGTTAAATTCTCTAGGCATTGTTGTAAAAGAAAAGAAAAAAATAAATAAAACCCCTTATTGAATTTGTAATTTATGGTCAAAAACTGGCAGTTAGCCTCTTAACTGTTTGCCACGTCAGTAGATGCTCGGGCCCCCTGAGTGTCCTTTGTTCTGCAGACCATCAGGATCTGGGCATTGAACTGTAGTTCTTGGTGCAGTCAGTACATCCAGTGAAACAGAGGCATGTTAGAACCACTTAGCCATGTGTTTTCAAGGGTAGTCTCTGTGATAAAAGACCACAAATAATGTCTTTTAGAACTGGGTGAAACCAGAGATGAGTGCATTTTCTTTTCCAACTTTGATTTCAGTTGAACCATTCAGAATCTGTCACTCACAGTAGATTCAGCCTTGACTGATGTAGATCTGAGAACATACGTTCCATCTTCTTCCTGATCTAGTGGTTTCATCCTGCTCCTTGGAATCATTTGGAGTTCCTTCCCCATCCCCAGACTTACAGTATTATAAATGTAACTTCTATTTAATTAGTTGTAATGGTTATTGCTGGTTAATAAGAGATATCATTTTCTTTTTTTTTTTTTGAGACAGAGTCTCACTCTGTTGCCAGACGCCAAGCTGGAGTGCAGTGGCACAGTCTTGGCTCACTGCAACCTCTGCCTCCTGGATTCAAGCAATTCTCCTGCCTCAGCCTCTTGAGTAGCTGGGACTACAGGCGCATGCCACCACCCCCAGCTAATTTTTGTATTTTTAGTAGAGATGGGGTTTCACCATATTGGCCAGGATGGTCTCAATCTCTTGACCTCATGATCCGCCTGCCTCGGCCTCCCAAAGCATTTTCTTTTACTTATGTAAAAGATTTTTATGTAACTATTTTATAATAGTATGAACCTCATTTTAGATGAGTGAAATTTAAAGTGAGGGCTGTGTATGGTGATATGTACTCAGGAGCACTGTGGTTTCCTTAGCAGTGATTCTCATTTTTAAACTATCATAATCCCCTAATTATGGTGTTTGTGACATTGTAGAACTTTACTGGTAAGTTGTGTTTATTTTTTAGTGTAAACTGTTTTTTCTTTTATATACTTAAGTTTTTATGTATGATAATCTAATTGAAAGAAAGTTATCAAAAGCCTTCTGAAATAAACTTTTAAGTATTTCATACATATTCTTAGGGTTCAGGTTTCTCTCACTAAAAGAATAGTTAGATGAGTTGTTATATAGTGTTAATTAGTAAGAAAGATAAAACTAAGCAGCTGTCAAGATTCATAATTTATTTCTGACAGGAAAATAATTTTATTAAGAAAATTATCTATTTTGTGGATATTTAGAAATACTGTACAAATGCAAAAAGAAATTCAATTTAAAAGATTGATTTAAAGTTACTGTGTAATAAATGGCTATATTGAATAGAAATATACAGTATCTCCTACTTAGGAAGGTCAGAAAAGTGATAATTATAAAAATGTGTAATTGAGAATTAGGTAAATGTTATAATTAAGGTGAATTATAAATTGTTGTGAAATTGTTGCCATAATGAAGTAGAGAATTATTTATGTTTCCTCTCTTTTAGGTTGTAAAGGCATATGATCGTGTGGAGCAAGAATGGGTTGCCATTAAAATAATAAAGAACAAGAAGGCTTTTCTGAATCAAGCCCAGATAGAAGTGCGACTTCTTGAGCTCATGAACAAACATGACACCGAAATGAAATACTACATAGGTAAACAGCGCAATGTGCCCCAACCCAGACCAAAACTTTGAGTTAATGGTTCTTTTTTATCAAAATATTTTGTTTAAAGTGGTTGATTAAAAATTTATTTCTTTGCTGTTGGACAGCAAGATTCATACAAGTGACTTGATCTGGCGGTAATAGTCTAATCTTGGGAAATGTGCCTTCCAGGTAGCATACCATGTAGAAACAAATGAGAATAGTGTGTGTAATTTGCAGCTTGCTGGTGCTATTTGTTTGCTTTAGTGATGCATGTTTATCCAAAGGGTCATCTTTCCAGAAACTTTAACCATTTATAATCTAGTTCAGAAACTAGTTGTGAGCTAGTATGTTGTTAGTGGTTGTGGAACCATTTTGGGGGCGTCTGCACCAAGATCTCAGGCTCTTCCCCAGTCTCTTCATCAGCTTGGTAGCATTAGAAGCTATTAGACTTAGGCCACAGTAAAGAGATAGCCACTGCTTATTGAATTTTCACCACATTCCTTGTGCTTTTCTTTCATCATCTGTAATAGTCTAACAGCCTATAAGGAGGATGGTAGAATCCTTAAATTACACATGGTTTTTATAAAAGGCAGCATATCTAGGGTCATAGGGTTCTGCAGCTAGGAACAGAAGCTGTACTACTAGTGCCTAACTCCAGTCTATTTGTTTCATTCTCACATAGTCTTCCTTCTGAAAACAGAAACAGGAAACAGAAGAATTGTGAAAATACTGAAATCTAGGGCCAATTGATACATGGACAAAACGTCTTCTAATATACCTTCTTTCATATTATTTTAAATCAAATCTAATATGTCAGTGATTGTTAAGACACCATTTTATGTAGCATCAAGGAAAAAATTGTTAAGTATTCATATAAGATGCCATCAGTCGAAGATAACAGACCTTAAGATCAGCACATAGCCATAGTCACTTGTGTTCAGAAATGCTGACTTGACTTGACAAACGTAAGGTTGAGTTTTATTTAGCAGATTCTTTTAAGAAAATCTGGTTATTTGGTCCCCCCAAAAAGGTAGAAACAAATAATGGGTGTTTAAAAGGGGCAAGCTTCAGATTGTTCAGATTAGATTTTGTTTGTGAAATACTGCTCATTTCTCTTTGTTAAAATATAAAATGAAATTTGTACTATTTTTCTTCCTTAGTTTCTTTACAGATACTGATATAATTCATAATAATAACATTTTTATCTTAAAACCATTCTCATCACACTCAATGAAACTTTGCTGTTCACTGTTAGCTATAACTTACATGAAATGACCCATTTCCATTCAAGGGTTTTAGAAACACATCAAGGACATCCTAAGGGTGCTTGACTTACACAGTGATCTCTGAACATGCCTCCTACCTTCTCACTCTTATTTACTTACGAAGCAGAAAAAATACTGATAGCATACTGTAACATTTTAATTCTGCTTTATTTAAAAAAGACATAGCTGGCATATAGTTAAGCACTCAAAAAATGTTAGCTACTCAGTTCTGTATAATGCTAGTATTTTGTTTTTAATAAAGTGACATTAATGATCATTTTATTAATTGCATTAGTCATTACAGATACTCTTTGGATGAGCTTTGAAGTTCTTATTTTAGAAGATGCTGAATGCATAGTGTCTCAAGAAACAGATTCTGTTTGGAAAACAAAAGAACTTTAGATAAGTTCATGTCAGTTGAATAGATGCTTTAAACTTACGTTATCTGAAAGTCATATTTATTTTTATAATGTAAATTAATTTTAAAGTGATTGATGAGTGTAATTTATTCTGATGAGTTTTATTGTCTTGTTTTTGAACTTTAAAAAACATCTACTACTTTACTGTGTAGCCAAATTTCTTATCTGGATTATTTAGTACCTGCCATGGTCTAGTTAAAAGAAAATTCAGTTTAAGTCTACAACAAAGTTGCCAGCCCTCCATTCTCCCCAAAATTCAGTTAAAAAGACTGAACAAATACACTTGTTCGAGCTTTCTTTGACAATGTCTTTAGTGCTCAGCACATTGTAGATACTGAGTAAATGAATAAAAGAAATGTGAGGTCAAGTGAAACTGAGTAGATCTTTCATTGGAAGAACATTCTCATCACAGAGCTTCTTAAAGGAATTTTTGTAATCACCTTAGAATTCTGACAGCAGTTACTTTTGCATTCCCTTTGTGGCTACTGCTTAACCAGGAGAGTAAAAGCCATGCATGGACCATGATTGTGAAGTATCATGGAGCTGTGTTTTTAGTTTTAAACCTATGAACTGAGGTGATTAAGAGCAGATATCTTATATAACATTTAAAGATATATATATATATATATATATATATATATACACACACACACACACATACATACATATATGGCCATGTAATTATTGTGTTAATTAGTTCTAACTTGAGATCACCTATATCATGAAAGATCTAAAAATGGTACTGATGTCCACTGCTTTGAGACAGAAAGCCCAGGAGTACTACCAGGAAAACACAGTGTATCCACAGTTAGTGATCAGACATTGATTTACTATCAGTTTATTCCAGATAGATCTGTAGCGAAACCTCTCATTTTGTAATACTAAAAGACAAAATGAAAATAACCTTGACAAGATGGGTGTTTATGTCTTTGAAGTTGTGTTACAGGTGCTCAGTTTGGTATACGTAAGACTATTAACAGTCAGGGCCAGCATTTTATCGAATAACCTCATCTGATGTGAAGTCAGTGTTAATACTTAAAGCACAATGTTTGAAGCAATTTAGTGAGTATTCAGCCTTTTTAGAGGTCAGCAGTGATAGTGATCTATATATTCTATGCTGTTTAAACCACTCACAAGCCTCCTCATCATCTCTTCTTGTAGTTGAGATTTATTTTGAAGTTTTTCAAACCTTCAGTCTCACACAACAGTTCTCATTTACCAATTTGATGAACACAGTTAAGTACTCCAATGCTTTTACTAAAGCATGATTTTCAGACATTTGTTGTATTTACCTAAAGGGTGACAAAAAAGCTATCATCAAAAATCGTGACAGAAAATTACTAGTGAAATCTGAAGTTCTGCAGCACAGATAAATTTCAAAGCCTACACAGAGGGCTGCCAAGTACAGCATTGTCACAAATCAGAGATCTGAATAGATGGAGCTTAGACATAAGAAGCTGTGAGGTAGGGCTCTCAGGAAGGAAAAAGTACTTTCTTTTATAAATGAAGATAAAATTGCTGAAATATTCTTACTACTGTTTGTTCATTTGCTACTTGTGTTTTCAGATCTGACTTTTTTAAAGAAACAAGGCATTTTGGTAGTACTGCTTACCTTGTATCACTTATTGACAGACACTATATCTGTTTAATTCAGCAGAATAGCAACTTAGATATTCTTAACTGATTCAAAACTGCTATTACTGCAAAATGCTGATCTCCAGACTTTAACTTTTCACTCTGCATTTCACGTTGTAATAATGTTATAGGTCATTTGAGAGTGCATGTGTATGTTACTCTCATTTTATTGGTATGTATAATTTAAAATGAAACTCTTTTCTCTTTCAGTGCATTTGAAACGCCACTTTATGTTTCGAAACCATCTCTGTTTAGTTTTTGAAATGCTGTCCTACAACCTCTATGATTTGTTGAGAAACACCAATTTCCGAGGGGTCTCTTTGAACCTGACACGAAAGTTTGCGCAACAGATGTGCACTGCACTGCTTTTCCTTGCGACTCCAGAACTTAGTATCATTCACTGTGACCTAAAACCTGAAAATATCCTTCTTTGTAACCCCAAACGCAGTGCAATTAAGATCGTTGACTTTGGCAGTTCTTGTCAATTGGGGCAGAGGGTAAGTATTGTTTCAGAACTTGTGAATTAAATAGAAGTAAGTAGAACAGTGTAAGTATTAGGTTGGTGCAAAAGTAATTGTGGTTTGTGCCATTACCTTTAATGGCATTCCTTTTTTAATGGAAAAACCGAAATTACTTTCGCTCCAACCTAACAGATATTTGAAATGTTAATAAGGTGTATACCATTTAGGGACAATTACAGGATGGTTATTTATCTTTAAAATGTAGCAGTTAATTACTTTATGTTGATATCTGTTTTGGGGGAAATACCTTTTAAAATGCAAATAGCAATACTTTGACTCAAAAGACATTGATTTTTTTTAAATAGGTATATTTAAAATTATGCTGAAAAATAAAGAGAAGAGAATAGGAGATGGAATGATTAAATATTAGGGGATTTGTAACTGTCCCAAGTAAAGGTTTTAGTATAAGTTTTGGGACTTTTCAGTACTGGAACATTGAATCCTTGCTGTAAAATATTTCTCTGAAGATTTATCAAGATAAATCTTTTTCCTCAAAAACTGATGGTTCAAAAAAATGCAGGTAATTTTGATTAGTCATGGTACTAAAGCACAGAAAATTCAGTTGATACAACTTACTTGTTTTGATGAATAAATTTCTCATATTTTCTTTACTAATAAAAATTTACATAAATTCTAACACATATCCAAAATGATTTTTTTTTTAGACTGCTAAAAACAGATGTGTTCGTAGTGATAATAAGTTTAGCTGATTTAGGAAAGCAGTTTTTCCTATCATTCTTAACATTATGAAAACTACTCTAACAGCATTGTTTTATATATAAAATAGAAGCTACAGGTGTCTCCTCTTTAAAGGAATTGCTACCATCATTTGATAATATTTTACTGATTTTTTTTTTTTTTTGGAGACAGAGTTTCGCTCTTGTTACCCAGGCTGGAGTGCAGTGGCGCAATCTCAGCTCACCGCAACCTCCGCCTCCCGGGTTCAGGCAATTCTCCTGCCTCAGCCTCCTGAGTAGCTGGGATTATAGGCATGCACCACCATGCCCAGCTAATTTTTTGTATTTTTAGTAGAGACGGGGTTTCACCATGTTGACCAGGATGGTCTCGATCTCTTGACCTCGTGATCCACCCGACTTGGCCTCCCAAAGTGCTGGGATTACAGGCTTGAGCCACCGCGCCCGGCCTATTTTACTGATTTTTAACACTATTCCTTTTGCTTGAAAGTGTTGAAACTATATTTCTTTTGTTTTAAAGAAAAACCCAACTAACATACAGATGTTAATTTTTTGTAGTGACTTTTCTGTTTCTTATTTTTCCAAATTATTGAAATTTTCTGTACTGTCCTACTTTTGTCCAAGTTTTAACTATGACAGATTAATCATAAAGATTTACAGCCAATTAGTAGGACTGTCTTTTTGTTATTTTCTGCAGCTTCTGTTATGGTGATGATACTATTAGGTGTTCAAGTGATTTTTAAAAATTGGAGTAGGAAGCAAAGTTTGCAGTTTTAGATGCCTTCAAAAAATGAAGAGATGCTTGTAGTTAATATGGGATAGAGTATATTGTGAATGAAAAATACATGCCCATCTTGAGAGTAATTTGAATAGATTTTAGAGTTGGAACATTTCCCCCCTATTTAAGCCAAATTATATATTTTGTCCTAATATTAAACATTATTATTTCTGTCTAGTCAAAATGAGCCAGTTATCCCTATAATAAATTTTCAACTACTCAAATTCACTGGAATCACATGGGAAGTTATATCTAAAATAGGCATGCAGTGGTCCTGCCTGTGGATCTATTGGATTAGAATCAGAAGGTGGTAGGCAAGTGTGTTTTGGGGAAAGCAACTGCTTTAAACAGGTTAGATAGGGATGTGACAGAGTTCTCGGCGTAAGCTGTGAAATACAAGTCTCAAGAGTGGTGAGTCTTTGGGCCTAGGGAATAAGCAATGGTATTGGCTTATAAAAAACTCAGAAGTGTAGTACTTCTTCCCAGTTCTTTATTTGGCTACCTGCCTATGTAGGCCTGAGATTGTTCTTGATGACTTGGCTGGAGGTTTCGGTGGGAGCCACAGAAAACTTCATGAGCTTTCTGGCTGCGTGGTTAGGGTATTAAGTTAGGAAATTTAGTTAGGAGGATTTTATTTCTTTCTCCCTTTTAATAAGTGAAACAGATTGGTCTCTGAAGACGTCCTTGCATTACTTCATTGAAAATGGTCCATTTCAGGATTGTCTTTCTCTAAGAAGTCTTGGATGGAGGTGGAGAGAGAAGAAGCTATTGGTCAGAGACAGCTGTTAATTGAATCTTTATGTGGCATTGTCTCAAATTTATCTGTGAGACGGCAGAGTACAAATGTCTGATTTTTAAATTACATTGTATTGAAGTTACTTGACTTTTAACGGTGAGAAATACATTGTTTAGGTTAATTTAAGTACAGTCTAGCTGTTAAGTTAGTGGTAAGCCAAGTGCCAGCCATTGCAGGAAAGAATCATTATTAGGGAAATAAATTACTTTCAATAGTGTTTTTTTCTGGTGAGGCATAATTGTTTTAAGAACTATCATGATGACCAGTTAGGATTAGACTAAACAAAAGGGCTTGAATTTTTATATATTAATGCATTTCACAGTTAAATTAACCAATCCCTCCAAATGTTTAGTTCTTTAAGCCATATTCATAGTCTAATGTTGAAATCAGTCAGTGGAACCCTAATTCAGGAATTAGCCAATTCTTTTCTGTTAATACCAGATTAATGTTTTAAATCCAGTGCTGACCACAGTTTTAAGCAATTAAAGTAATACTATTTTGAAATGTATTTCAGATATACCAGTATATTCAGAGTCGCTTTTACCGGTCTCCAGAGGTGCTACTGGGAATGCCTTATGACCTTGCCATTGACATGTGGTCCCTCGGGTGTATTTTGGTTGAAATGCACACTGGAGAACCTCTGTTCAGTGGTGCCAATGAGGTAAATGGTGCATTGCTTTATGAATTCTGTTTTCATAATTTCTTTTTGTCTTTCATCAATGACAGTGTAAAAGTTGTTTTTAGGCAGAGATGAAATTCGAGGTCAGTTTTGAATATACCTATTTTTTCGTATTTGTCAGTGGTCATATAATACTAAGTTTAGAATTATGAGATAGGAAATGTAGGATTTTAATCTGCTCATGAAGGAGAACAGTTAATTAGAAAGTGTTAAGTATCTTGGCACAAATTTTACAGGTTTTAAGCTCAATAACAGAAAGCTTAAAGATGATAATAAAGAAATGAAGGCCATCCTGAAGAGTGATACAAACATCACTCTAAATTTTTAGATTATAATTTGGAGTTGAAGAGGTAATGATCAGTTGGATTGATGGATACTCAGTCTGAATAATTTAGAGTAAACTAGATGATCGAATTGTAGGGCTGTAGAGACTGTGTGCAGTTCTACAGTCCGCAGGTTTTCAGTCTGTGCTCTGGGAGATTTTTGAAGGTCAGAGGCAGTGAGTGGGTGGGCAGGGACAAGTCACACTTCTCTGCAGTAAGATAAATTGGGCTTTCATTGTTCATAAACTATTCACCTGTGGGGTTTTGTTTGTTTTCAAAAGAAAAATTGACCATTGCAGATCTTGATCAGTCTATTTATTTATAAATGAGAAGAGAAAGGCCAAAGGCATTAATGACTTGTGCCAGATGATGCAGCTATTAATGTGTGGTGTCAGAAACTTCTCTTCCATCCTTACCTTTTAACTCTTTTTTTTTTTTTTTTTTTTTTTTGAGACGGAGTCTTGCTCTGTTGTCTAGGCTGAAGTACAGTGGCTCGATCTTGGCTCCTTGCAACCTCCGCTGCCCAGGTTCAGACAATTCTCGTACCTCAGCCTCCTGAGTAGCTGGAATTACAGGCAAGCACCACCATGCCCGGCTAATTTTTGTATTTTTACTACAGATGGTGTTTCACCTTATTGGCCAGGCTGGTCTTGAACTTCTGATCTCAAGTGGTCCACCTGCTTCAGCCTCCCAAAGTGCTGAGTTTACAGGCGTGAGCCACTGCTCCCAGCTCCTTTTAATTCATTTCAGCTTCAGCTGGTGAGCTGCTCTTTGATAGTAACTGCCATAGTTTGTTTTTGTTTTAGTATGAATCCTACTATGTAAATTAGTTTCTTTCTTGGGCTTAAATGATATTAAAAAACCTCAATGGTTTCCCATGTTACTCATTGTAAAAGCCGAGGTCCTTTGAGTAGCTCACAAGTTCTTACTCCCTCTGATGCCAATTCTCTCACCAACACCTAGTCTCTCCTTCTCCCCTCACTCTGTGGTCCCTGGCAAATGCCATAGGCCCATACTAGGCCCTTTGCATTTCTTATTTCCTGTGCCTAAAATGCTGTCTTCTGAGATAGCACTTGGTTCCTTCCCTTGCTGATGTTAGTGTTTGCTCTGATGCCACCTTCTCAGTGAAACTATATACCCCGCTTATGGTTGCGTCCCCCTTATCCCCATCCCATAGTTCTTAGTCAGCATCTGACATCATGTATTTGATTATTTATTGATACCGCCGGCTGTGGTGGCTCACACCTGTAATCCCAGCACGTTGGGAGGCCAAGGCGGGCAGATCACTTGAGGTTAGGAGTTTGAGACCAGCTTGGCCAACAAGCTGAAACCCCATCTCTACTAAAAATACAAAAGTTAGCCAAAGGTGGTGTCGTGTGCCTGTAGCCCCAGTTACTAGGGATGCTGAGGCAGGAGAATTGCTTGAACCCAGGAGGTGGAGATTGCAGTGAGCCAAGATCGCGCCACTGGACTCCAGCCTGGGAGACAGAGCCAGACTCGGTCTCAAAAAAAAAAAAAAAAAAAAAAAAATTATTTATTGTTGTTCTCTTCCCACTATAACATAAACAACTTTTTGGCAGGGGTTTTTGTATGTTTTGTTTATTGTATTCTACCACTGAGCATGGTTCCTAGCATGTAATAGGCACACTCAGTATGAGTGAATGAATCTGTACTTTAAAAAAAAAATACTTATTAGGTCCATGCTCTATTAAGCCTCTGGGATTTTTTGTTTTTAGTGGGTATTTAATATCCTCTGAAAACTGGGCCGGGTGCTGTAACTCAACGCCTATAATCCCAGCACTTTGGGAGGTTGAAGTGGGAGGGGATTGCTTGACCCAGAGTTTGAGACCAGCATAGGCAACATGACAAAACTCCATCTCCACAAAAAGATTTTTAAATTAGCCGGGCGTGGTGACTCATAGCAGTAATTCCAGCTCTTTGGGAGGCCGAGGTGGGTGGACCATTTGAGGTCGAGAGTTCAAGACCAGTCTGACCAAGGTGGTGAAACCCTGTCTTGACTAAAAAATCTGCCTGTAGTCCCAGCTATTCGGGAGGCTGAGGCAGGAGAATCACTTGTACCTGGCAGTCAGAGGTTGCAGTGAGCTGAGATTGCACCACTGCACTTCAGCCTGGGCAATAGAGCAAGACTCCATCTTAAAAATATATATATAGCTGGGTGTGATGGTGCATGCCTGTATTCCTAGCTACTCTGGAGGCTAAGGTGGGAGTATCACTTGAGCCTGGGAGGTTGAGGCTGAAGTAAGCTGTGACTGCACCATTGCCCTCCACCCTGAGTAACAGAGAACCTATCTCAATAATACGTAAAGAAAAAAGTTTTATAAAATAAAATTCTACAGAAACGGAAGCTTTAAAACTTCCTCTCATCTTTCCTTACTGTTCAACGTTGTATCTGTGGCTACCTGACATAATGTGTTTGTTAATTAACTGTCTTCCCTTCTGTGGGGTATTTGGCTCAAGGAAGGTAGGGCCTTTCTTGTTTGTTCATTACTGTAAGCTGGATGTCTGGAGGAGTGCCTGACACATAGGCGACGTGCAATTTATTTATGAATGAATGAGTGATGCGTGACTTGATGAGCAGGAGTAGATGTATAGTAGAAATTACAGGTTTTATTGTTTTTATTTTTAATACAGGTAGATCAGATGAATAAAATAGTGGAAGTTCTGGGTATTCCACCTGCTCATATTCTTGACCAAGCACCAAAAGCAAGAAAGTTCTTTGAGAAGTTGCCAGATGGCTCTTGGAACTTAAAGAAGACCAAAGATGGAAAACGGGTAAAATAAGGATATATACGTTTTGAACCTTCATTAAGTTTCTTTACCATACCTGTCTTTTTATAGCTCATTTTGCTTTACTTGAAATCAGTGTGTTTCAGTTAACAATTTTATTGATAACTTAGGTAGATACTTTGTTCGGAAGTTGAATACAGTTTGACCTGAACTATCAGGTATGGACCAGGGTTTGATTAATGGTCAGAGTTCATTTTAAAAACTATGCCTGCCTTTTGAGGCAGCTGATCACATCACCATGTTTGGTTTCAGCAGTAGAATTCGTAAGTTTGACCTTTTGCTACTTACAGCTTGGGCATGTAGTGATGTCACAGTTAATTACTTCAGCTGTGAACAGAAGTCACAGTTGCAGTAAATGATTTTTTTTTAAAGTTCATTTGGTAAAATATGTGAGAAGATGATTTTTGGCTTAAGTAGTATGGGATTTTTTTCCAAGGATACTAACTATCCATTGATAGAGTCACATTCCTGCTCAGTGACTTAGCAGAAATTTCACATCTCCAAAATCTTTAAAAGTGAGGTTTTTATAACATTAGGTTTGTTTTAGTAACTTTCTTTTAGCTGAGGACTTTGTTTAAAGATAACTAAACTATGTCAGTTTAATAGAGTAAATGATGCTAATTTTGCATCTTGATTTTTACTTTTGTTTCATAGATCTGTAATCATGTTTTGTAATTTAGTTTGATCCTAATATTGAATGATGAATATAATGTATAAATATGTGATTGAATATGACCTCCCCCCGCACGTACACATATCTAAGTCACCTTGTGATTGTAGTTCTGCATTTAAAAGATTTAAGAGTTTATTTTTGCTTCAGTTATTTTTCCCTTGCATTTTAGTGGTGCTGCCACCAGGTGTCATTTTCAGTGAACTGAAGATGATGGTTGATTGCCTTAATTCACCTCCACGTAGCTATGGAGTCATAACTTTTAATATTAAATGATTTTCTTTAGAATATTTAAAAACACACATCTAATTGTATCTTTCAAAACTGATTTGTAAGTTATTGCATTCTGCCATGTTCTCTAAAGCTATAGGCAGTGCAGTTTCCAGCTGCTAAATTATGCCTACTCCCCATAAGGAAAGGACGGAAAATGCCATTGAGACCTCCTGGGCCCTTGTTTTTCCTTTATCCACATAGCTCATTAATCCTGGCCCGTTTTCTGTGTAACCAAAACTTAGCCTGGGAATCCTTACTAGCTCCACCAGCATTCAGAGGAGTTCCTACCAGTTTGAATTAGCATGGAGAGGAAATTAAATCTCTTTTATGCTGTCTCTCTCTGTGATACAGGCTGCTGCTCTCTCCATTTCAGATTTATTTATTTATATTTTGCTTCTGCTATTTTATTTCCTCAGTAAAACATCCCATTTCCATTTCCTAAATCTCTTGCCTCATAAAACCACAGTGACCTATTATTTCTTTCAAATTGATCTATAGGTATTATTGTTTTTAGTTATTTGGAGTGGGGGCATTTCAGAAATGAGTAGATTCTCTTTTCCCTTTTAAAATTGGAAGTGGGTATCTTAATGTACATTTAATACATGTGAATTGACACTAGATTTTTATGAGATTCTTTTAGTCACACTGAGCTATTGACTTAAGTAACTTAACTTTTAAAAATAGGAAATATTTATTTATTTATTTATTTTTGAGATAGAGTCTTGCTCTGTCGTCCAGGCTGGAGTGCAATGGTGCGGTCTCGGTTCATTGCAACCTCCACCTCCTGGGTTCAAGCGATTCTCCTGTCTCAGCCTCCCGAGTAGTTCGGATTACTGGCGCGCACCACCACGCCCAGCTAATTTTTGTATCTATGTTTTTTTTTAGGAGAGATGGGATTTTACCATGTTGGTCTCAATCTCTTGACCTCATGATCCGCACGCCTCCCAAAGTGCTGGGATTACAGGCATGAGCCACTGTGCCTGGTGTATTTTGCTTTTAAGAGAGAAATTCTGTAACAAAATCAAATAATTACATTACAAAGGATACACTGGGAATTTTAACCAGAGATATAAATAGAGGTGCATATACTTTCATTGGCTGTCTTTGTGATTTAATGATATTTTTACTTTTAATTTCTCATTTTATATTTCAAAAGTTCTATATTAGGGTTTTCCAGTAATTAGTTCAATACTTACTATGTATTATTTTCTTGGTAGAGGTGGAGAATGAAGAAGTAAGACAATAAATGATGCTATTTTTTGAAGTATAATTTGTATATTGTAAGATGCACATTTTTAGTGTTGAGCTTGTTTTCACCTTTATATACAACATTGTTCCTCCTGTCTAAACCAGTATGAAAGATTTCTATCTCAAATCCTCTTGCGACCCTTTTCTGTTATCCCACTGCTTTCTGATTTCAGTCATAGCAAAGATTAGCTTTGCCTTTTTGTAAACTTTGTATAAATGGAGCCTTATAGTATTTATTGTTTAGTCTTGGTTTTTCTTCATTCAACAAATACATTGTTTTTGGAAATTCATCAGTATTGTTGTATGTCTCAGGAATTGATTTTATTGCTTCAAGATATTTCATTGAATGAACATATCATAATTTATATTCACTTGTAAGTGGTCATTTGGTTTGTTCCCAATTTGGGACTATTATGAATAAGGCTACTCTGACAGCATAGTCTTAAGAGTAGAATTGCCAGGTTACAGGGTATATGTTTACCTTCACAAGAAAAACCGCCAGTTATCCAAAGTTGTTTTATCATTTTATATTCTCATGATGCACGAGGGTTTCAGCTGCATGACATCCTCACCATTTGATATGGCTTGTCTGTTGGGTTTTAGCCATTCTGTAGTTGATACATCGTGATTTGATTTGCATTTCTTCAGGCAGTGCAGTGATGCAGACCACCTTTTCATATGCTTATTAGCCTTTCATATATCTTCTCTGAGTTGTTTAATGATCTAGTAGTCCTTTGTCATTAATTTTTTGTCACATATATGTCAGTGTATTTTCCTAGACTGTGGCTTGCCTGTTTCTCTCTTAATATGTTATCTTTTGATGAATAGGGAGTTTTAATATTGATGAAGTTGTATTTGTCAACTTTTTTTTTTTTTGGGGTGCTCTTTCCTATCCTAAAAAATCTTTGCCATCTTCAAGTTTGTGAAGATACTCTTGTTTTCTTCTGAAAGTTTTTAAAATTTTATTCTGCCTTTTACAGTTAGGATTCCATGGTCTGTCTTGAATTAATTTTTGAGTATGGAACAGGGTGAAAGGGTTGAAGTTCATTTTCTTCCCTTTGCTTACCTAGTAGTTGCAACAGTATTTACTGAAAGCAATTGCTTTTTCCTATTGATATATTTTCTGTTCTAGGTCCTTTCTATTCATATGTGAATTTTAGAATCAACTTGTAAATTTCTACCAAAAAATAGTGCTAACATTTTGATTTGGGTTGTAATTGGGGTTTCATTTAGGAAAATGGACATCTTAACAATATTAAGTCTTCCACTCTATAAAGATGGGTTATCTCTCCATTTATTTAGGACTTAAAATCTCTCAGCAGTGTTTTACAGTTTTTAATGCAGAAGTCTCACATATCTTGCTCACTTTATTCCTAAGTTTTTAATTTTTTAGAAGTTAAGTGGCATTTAAAATGTATAATTTCCTAATTTTTCATTTCTGGTATATAGAAATACAACTGATTTTTGTATCCTAAGACCTTGCTAAATTTACCTGTTCTAACAGTTGACCTTCGAACAGTAAAGATTTGAACTGCCCATGTTCACTTGTGTGCAAATTTTTTTCGACAAATGCAGCCAACCCTCTGTAATCAAAAATACAGTATTCCCTGGATTTGAAACCTGTATATGAGGGCCAACTTGTCACGTATGTGGATTCTGCACGGCCTCCTGTGGAGCTTGAGTATATGTGGATTTTAGTATATTTGGGGGAGGGGCAGTGTCCTGGAACCAATCCCTGTGTATACTGAAGGATGACTGTGTTTTTGTTGTTGAAATTTGATAGGGCTTTCTACTTAAGCAATCTTACACTCCGTGAATAAAGACAGTTTTATATTTTCAGTTGTATGCCTTTTTTGCTTTTTTAATACCATGAATGGGTTTTGAATATGGTTCCAGTTTTTCTGCATCTATAGGGATCATCGTATGATTTTTCTCCCAATTTTGTGGTAAAATACATTAATTTTTTGAATGTTAAGCCTCCCAGCCCTATCAAGTCCCTTATATATATTGCTCAGTTCAATTTGCTGATCTCTTGGTAAGGAATTTTGTTTCTATATCATTGGTGGATATTTGTCTAAAATATTATTAATAATACCATCATTAGGATTTGATTTTAGGATTATGCTGGACTTGTGAAACTATTAGGAAATATTCTTTCTTGATTTTTCTTTAAAAAAAAAAAAAGGTATATGATTGGTTAGCATTACTTCTTTTGTAATGTTTAGTGGAGTTCAGTGATGAAACCATCAGAACCTAGGGCATTTCTTGTTAGAAGGTTATTTAATTGTAATTTATGTTTTTTGATAAAAATAGGGGTATCTAGATTTTCAAGTTAGTTTTGGTAAGCTGTGTCTTTCCAGAAACTTTTCTTTCTCACCTAAATTGTTGAATTTGTTGGCATAAAATTATCAAAAATATTTTACTATATTTTTAATATCTAGAAAATCTGTAGTAATAGGCTCTCTTTTATTCCTGATACTGGTCATTTATACTTTGTTTTTTCCCCAACTAGTCTTGCTCAGGGTTGATAAGTTTATTAATCTTTTCAAACAACCAGATTTTGACTTTGTTGATTTCTTTCCTTTTTTTCTTTTCTTGTTCTAGTTTCTATTCTGTTTTTTTACGCTTCACTATGTCCATTTACTTGGGTTGAATTTTCTCCTTTTCTAGCTTCTTTTAAAGGTGGAAACTTAGATCATTGATTTTTAAGCCTCTTTGCTACTATAGAATTTAGTGGTATAAATTTTCCTCTAAGCACTGCTTTAGCTGCATCCTGCAGCTAGCTAGCTAGCTAGCCATTTTTTTTAGAGACAGAGTCAGTCTCATTCTGTCACCAGGCTGGAGTGCAGTGGTGTGATCTCAGCTCACTGCAACCTCCATCTCCTGGGTTCAAGTGATTCTCCTGCCTCAGCCTCCCGAGTAGCTGGGACTGCAGGTGCACACCACCATGTCCAGCTAATTTTTGTATTTTTAGTAGAGACAGGGTTTCACCATGTTGGCCAGGATGGTCTTGATCGCTTGACCTTTTGATCCACCCGCCTCAGCCTCCCAAAGTGCTGGTACTACAGGCTTGAGCCACCGCACTGGAGCACTTTTTGTATGTTTTAACAGTCATTCTGAAATGTTTTTAACTTGTGATTTCTTCTTTAACCTGTCATTATTTAGAATTTTGTTACATAATTTCAAAATATTTGAGGATTTTCTAGGTATCTTACTGATTTCTAGTTTAGTAGCAGTTTGGTCACAGAATGTGATTTCAGTCCTTTAAAATTGAGACTTGTTTTATGGCTTAGCATCTGATGTGTCTTGGTGAATGTTTTATGTGCACTTGATAAGAATTGTATTTTGTGTTTGGTGTAGTGGTCTCCAACTATAAATTGTTTGATATTTTCTTTATATCTTTTGTATCTTTGTGTGTGTGTCTGTATATTCTGTCAGTAACTGAGAGAGGAGTCTTCATTGATTTGTCTTAGACTCCCTTTATAACATTGCTTTTTGTTTTTCGAAGCTTCGTTAATAAGTGTGTGCATGTTTAGCGTTGTCATGACTTCTTAATAAATTGACCCTTTTATCATCGTGAAATGTCCCTCTTTATCTCCAGTAATGTTTATCTTTAAGCCTGCTTTGTGTGATATTACTGTAGTGTTACTAGTGTTCTTGATATTTTCATGGTGTGTGTGTGTGTGTGTGTGTGTGTGTATGTGTGTGTGTAGATACAAAAGATACACACATACATTGGAAGAAAAATATCCAACATATGTACACACACACACACACACACACACACTCTCACACACGTGCTCGCTCTCTCTCGCTCTCTCTCTGTCTCTCACTCTCTCACTCACTTTTTAAACCCGTGCATACCTTTATATGTAAATAATTTTTTTTTGAAACAGTCTCGTTCTGTCACGCAGGCTGGAGTCCAGTGGCACAATCTCAGCTCCCTATGATCTCTGCCTCCGGTTCAAGTGGTTCTCTTGCCTCAGCCTCCTGACTAGCTGGGATTACAGGCACATGCCACCACACCCAACTAACTTTTGTATTTTTAGTAGAAACGGGCTTTCACCGTATTGGTTAGGCTGGTCTTGAACTCCTAACCTTGTCATCCGTTTGCCTCAGCCTCCCAAAGTGCTGGAATTACAGGAGTGAGCCACTACACCCAGCCAGATGATTTTTATGTTGTGTGCAACATATGGTCAGGTCGTTTCTTAATCTATTCTGTTAGTATTTAGCCTATTATTCAGAGTTTTGGGTTTTATACTATTGTCTTATTTGTATTCTGTCTTTCCTGTTCTTTGTTTCCTATTTCTTCTTTCCTGTCTTTTTGGAGGGAGGTTTATTGAATACATTTTGGCATTTTATTTCATCTCCTGTACTGATTTTTTTGCTTACTTCTCTGTGTCATGTTTGTGTTCCTTTTATAATATACACCTTTAACATAGTTTACCTTCAAATAATAATATATTGCTTGTTAAACAGCGTGATAACCATGTGATTCTATATAACCCCCTTCTACTTCTTGTGCATTTGTCGTCATATTACTTTTGCATGTTATAACCTCACAGATTAATGGCTGTTTAAATAAAAAATAGATGTTGAAAGAAATTTTAAAGCACATATAAAATAAGGATAATAGAACTTTTATATTTATGCTTATATTTGCCCTTTTCTGGTGTTCTTTCTTTTTGCAGTTTCTGGCTTCCATTTCTTCAGCCTTAAGACCTTATTTAACTTTTATTTTATAATAAATAAGTTATCCTGATGAATTCTCTCAGTAGGTTTTGAGCTGAAAATATTTGTTTACCTTTATTTTTTGGAAGATATTTCCAGTGAATATGGAATTACAGATTAACTTTTTTCTTTCAGCAAAAAAAAAAGATGTTATGACATTGCTTAAAGATGTATTGACTTTTTTTTCTGGATTACACTGTTTTTGAAGAGAAGTCTGGTTATTTTTAGCATTGTTTCCCTGCATATACTGTTTTTTCCCTTGCCCTCTGGCTGATTTTAATATTTTCTCTTTGTTTGATCTCCAGCAGTTTGACTATTTTTACCTGTGTATGATTTTCTTTGTATGTATTCTCCTGGGAGTTCACTGAGTTTCTTGGATCTGTGGGTTGATTTCTTTCATCAGTTTTTGAAAGTCCTCAGGCATAGTCTTTCCAAATATTTGTTCTGCTTTCATCTTTCTTCTAGTTCTCTAGTGATGTGTATGTTATAGTGTTCAATATTATCCCAGAGGTCTCTGTCTGGTTTATTCATTCTGTTTTCTGTTTGTATTTTTAATTGGATAATTTCTTTTTCTATCTTCTGGTTGACTGATTTTGTTGTTGTTATTGTTGTTGTGGTTGCTTCGTGCTGAGTGCAGTCTGCTGTTGAATCCATTAAATGGATTCTTGGGATGTTACCGTTGTTTTTGAAACAGGATCTCACTCTGTCGCCCAGGCTCAAGTATAATGGTGTGATCATAGCTCATTGTAGCCTTGACTTCCTGGGCTCAAGCAGTTCTTCCACCTCAGCCTCCCAAGTAGCTGGGACTACAAGAGTGTGCCACTACGATACCTAGCTATTAAAAGTTTTTGTAGAGACGGGGTCTGGCTATGTTGCCTAGGCTGGTCTTGAACTCCTGAGCTCAAGCAGTCCTCCCACCTTAACCTGAGTGTATAGACATGAGCCCACCCTATATTTTTTAGTTCTAGCATTTCTATTTTTTTTTTAATACGGTTTTTCTCTTTTGAAATTCTACATATGTTGTCCACCTTTTGAACTAAATTGTTTAATTATCATAATTTGTAAAAAGTATCATAATTATTTTAAAATGCTAGTCTGCTGCTTTCAACATCTGCACCATTTATGTGTGTGTATTTTCTACTGGCTTTTTGTTTTCCTTTTCATGTGATTTTGGACATCATTTTGTAAAAAATGTAATTTTTAAATGTGTGCTAAACTTCCTGTGCTTAAGAACAGTTAAAGATGGAAGTGGACCATATTTTCCCCCAGAAAGAGGCCTGTTACTCTTGTCAGGCCCCTCCTGTCGGGCTGAGTTGATCTCTTTCGTAGCTTCACTGACTCTGGGCTTTGCTTGTTTTACTTAGATTCTATTCACTGCTGTCTTCATATGTTTTGAGCTGGAATGAGGACATTGCCTTCAGCAGTGTTTGTATCTTCAGAACCAGGGAAAATCTAAAGGTCTCTATACATTACTGCCCAGCCAGCAGCCCCAGTCCTAACTGTCTGTGCCTGGGAGATCACCTTCCCCCTGCTGCATTCCCCCATCCTTCTGTCTGTCCACACGTGGCCGTCAGAAGTTGGTTCAGACTTGGGCTGGAGTCTTCTCGCTCATCTGTGGCATGCCTGCTCCTTCTCCCACTGTAGGTCTCTTCCTGGAGAGGCTTTTCATTTTGTAGAATTCCAGGGATTCTTGTTCCAACTCTGGATCCTGGGACAGCTCTCTGATTGGTCTTTAAAAGACAGTGATTTTATGACTTACCTGGCTTGTTTTTGCTTCTAAGAGAAAACAGCCATCTCACGTATTTTTGCATTTTAACTAGAAGCCAAAGTCTGGTGGTGCTATTCTTAATAAATTCAATATTTATAGAGGTTTTAAGGATTATACTATTACATATCAAAAAATGAGTTTTCGGGAAATCTCAGCACATGTTATTATTACATAGAGTTTTCTGAAGGGAAGCATACATAATTTTCTTTTTATCTAGTATAAGTAGGTAGAGTTAGACCAGTGCCTTTTTGTGTAGAACATCCTTGGTGTGATTGCCATAGCTTTCTTTCTTGGACCACTGTTGCTAAAGGAAGTGTAGCAGGTGCTGAGGATACACAGTTAGGCAGGAAAGAGGCTTCCAGCCGGGGCTGGGCAGGGGTATGCTTGCTCTCTATAAAGGACGAGAGAAAATGCTTTCTTCCTTATAGGTCTCTGTTGCATATTTTTTGTTTTTGTTTACTTACTTACTTGCTTGCTTGTTTTTACAACCTTTGAAAACAGAAAAACCATTTGTAGCTAGAACTGTGCAAAACCGGGCTCTGTATCAGGCCATAGTTTACTGACCCCTGGGCTAGATGATCTTTATCTTACCATTTTTGGTCTCAGAATTACATTGAACTGTAACTAACTGTGCATTTGGTATAGTAATGTGTGAAAAGGCAGAGGATTTAACTATGATGGGTCCTTGTTAATAAAGGCCTCAACATATAATATATTTAAACATATTTGAAGTTAGATTTTGTAAGTGTTTATATATTCCACCAAATTTAGAGAAAGCCTTTTATCTTCTCTCTTACAGGAGTACAAACCACCAGGATCCCGTAAACTTCATAATATTCTTGGAGTAGAAACAGGAGGACCTGGTGGGCGGCGTGCTGGGGAGTCAGGTCATACGGTCGCTGACTACTTGAAGTTCAAAGACCTCATTTTAAGGATGCTTGATTATGACCCCAAAACACGAATTCAACCTTATTATGCCCTGCAGCACAGTTTCTTCAAGAAAACAGCTGATGAAGGTACAAATACAAGTAATAGTGTGTCTACAAGTCCCGCCATGGAGCAGTCCCAGTCTTCGGGCACCACCTCCAGCACATCGTCAAGCTCAGGTCTGTGAGACTGCGGTTTGATTAGGCTTGGGATGTGTTTTCTTTATAAAGTGGGATTATTTAAAAGTGTTTATTAAATTTTTTAATAGGGTAGGGAACAGTTACTTTACTTAAATCTGTTCTTTTATAGTTAATTGTAAATTCATCTCCCCCAAAGCTCCAGTATCAGTTAAGCATGTAATAAATTCTGGTTGGCAGTTGGAAATCTATTTATTTTTTTTATTTTTTATTTATTTGTTTTTTCCCATCCCCGTACCCCACAACGGTGCTGATGCCGGCGTCCTTCCCTGAGGTGCCCCGGCCTCCAAGACGGCCTCCCTGGTGGAATTTGATACCGAAAGGAAATCTATTTATTAACCAGCATTTTAAATTACTTCTTAAATGGAATTTTTGTCCACATTGCTTTAGTTTTCCCCTACCTTAACCAGACTTCATTGTATTTTAGTTCAGTGGTGGATGAGAGAGAACCTGGTTTTTTAGTCAGAGAATATGAAGACTTCATGATACACTTTCAAGTTAATATTGGAGATTTTGTGTGTGTTTTGAATACTTTCAGTTTTAACGGTATAGCTTTGGAGTATACATTTGAACAAAATGAATTTTAAACTCACAGTTGTATTATTTTGTGTTGTGATGTTTCAGGTGGCTCATCGGGGACAAGCAACAGTGGGAGAGCCCGGTCAGATCCGACGCACCAGCATCGGCACAGCGGCGGGCACTTCACAGCTGCTGTGCAGGCCATGGACTGTGAGACACACAGTCCCCAGGTGAGCTCGCACATGGTTCATTTGCTTGTGTCACCTGCCGTGCTCAGGTGGAGCAGCACTGGATGCCAGGTGCCTTTAGAATGACCGTTTCATTTACCCTAAAGGTTCATGACGTTCTCATGTCTAAGGAAATGTCAGTATTTATCATAGAGAAGCACATTGTCCTGTAGTTCTCTTTCTCTTTGTCTAGAAGTGGCTAACACTCACTGGGGGCATAGCAGTTGTTGTTTCAAACAGTTTTTTCCTTTATCTCATTTACCGAAGCAGCATTTTGAGCCTCATGCTTTTTTGATTCCCATTTTACAGTGGAAGCTGAGACTTCGTGGGTTGAGTAAATTTTCTTGGGTCATGATCTTCATGACTCGACTCTGCTTCCTCCCATGATTTTTTTAGCACTTGTAGTCCTGGATTCTGAATCCGTTTCTGGTTTGATATTAGCCTCTCTTTCTTGTTTTTTGTGTTTTTATTTTTTTGTTTTTTTGTTTTTAAACCTGTTGAAGAGGATCCAGGTAAGTACTTTTTCAAAATTTGAGGAAGCGCATGGTGATGGCAAAAATATTTACATAACCTAATAAAGTTGTAAGTTGGTTCATGCTGAGTTTTGCTGGATGGTGAGAGGCCAGTGTGGTATTTTGTGGATGAGTAAAACTGTGGTTAATTAAGAGCACTCCGTTCTTGTGACTCGGGCAGCTGAATGGTGCTGGAGGAGGTCCCACATGTAGCCGTTTGTCAGCACTATTCATATTCACCAACCTCTGCTGGGCAGTTCCCAAGTTGTCCCTTCGTCTCCTATTCTAATAATTGTTTCAAACTTTTCTACTCTTAGAAACTTTGCCCCCCCTTCTCTGTTGTCACCCACTCTTTGCTTTGTAAGGAAGAGTCTTCAGACATGAATTCCTTTTACTTTGTAGCATTGAATACATGATCCTGCCTACATGGCACTGTCCACTTCTCCTCTACCCCTTTTTTTGTTAGAAGCAATGTGTTTGTTTTTGCCTAAGGCCAAGCGCACTCAGTGCCCTGATCGCCTCTCTCCTGCTTTCATGGGGCCTTTGCCCTTTGGTCTTCCTCGGTTCCTGTGTCTTCAGCCTTCCCTCTTTTGGCTCTTTCTGTTAATCGGCATTTCCTCATTCTCAGGCCGTTTCCATCTTAAGCAGCACCTTTGTGTGTCCCCTGTCTTTCTTTCCCTACACTTCTGCTACCTGTGGTGTCTTTGCCTCTACTCTGAAGACCTCCTTGCCTATTCTACTTACTTCCTGCCTTCCAGCACCCCTGCCAGGGTCAGTGGTGGCCTTTATTCATGAGCCCACTGGACACCCTAATGCTGTCTTTCTGCATTCTACAACTTCATTTGGCAATGTTGACTTTTCCCTACTCTTTGAAATGCTCACTGCTGGTTTCCTTGGCAGGATGTTCCCCTGTCTCTGGGTTTTTTCTTCTACTCACCTCTGAAACCTGGTTGTTCCTCGAGGTGTGACCTGTGTTCCTGTCCTGCTCCCTTTAATGTTTCCTGGGTGATTTCAGCCACACCTGCCAGGGCCTGCAGTCACCATCTTTATGCCAGTTGTTCCTCAGTTGCAACTTCTGACTTAGACTTCACTTCTGAACCCTAGGGCCTTTCTCATTGTTTACTATAAATGTCACCTTGAAAGTCTCAACAATGTGCAGTGGTAAAATTGCACATAAGCTGATGTCATTTTCACTTCCTTCTCAACTCTTCTACTTTTACCATTCTTTGTAAAATTGGCCCTAAATTTACCCATTTGCTTAAGTCATAAATCTGGGGCACTCCTCTCTCCGTCTTTCCCCACACTGAATCAGACAGTAAATTATCTGGATTCACCACATCTTAATACGTTTTTATTTGCTGCCTTTCACTTTACCTCATTGTTATGACTTGTCTTACTAGAAAGAGTCCTCTAACCTCGAGTGTCTGATTCCATCCACCTGCCAGCACCATTCTTTTCCCTGCAGCCAAGTGAGCTTTCACTAGAACAGTCTGTTGTTGCTATTCCCCCCCCCCCCACCTTTTTTTCCCTTGAGATGGAGTCTTGCCCCGACATGCAGGTTGGAGTGCAATGGCGCAGTTTTGGCTCACTGTAACCTCCACCTCCTGGGTTTAAGTGATTCTCCTGCCTCAGCCTCCTGAGTAGCTGGGTTTACAGGCATGCATCACTATGCCCGGCTAATTTTTACATTTTTAGTAGAGATGGGGTTTTGCCATGTTGGTCAGGCTGGTCTTGAACTCTTGACCTCAGGTGATCCACCCACCTTGGCCTCCTGAAGTGCTGGGATTATAGGTATGAGCCACTGTGCCCAGCCTGTTTTCCCTACTTTAAACCAGTTTTGACTTGCCCTTATAGCTAAAATGAAACGTAGACTTCTTACCATGGCATCGGTGCTTTCTAGGATCTGGTTCCCACCCAGGCCATTCTTTCTCCTCTTTACTCTAGTCACACTGATTTATTTTTTGGTTTTTGTAATATGCCACATTCTCTGTCACTTTTCTCACATTTCCTGTGCTCTCAGCCTGGAACACCCTTTTCTTTCTTCTTTTGCTTTGGTAACTATTTATCCTTCAGGTCTTAGGTATCACTATTCCCAGGGCCTTTCCCTGAATCTTTAGACTGTCTGTCCTTTCTTCCAAATCTGTTCCATACCACAAACACATACAGGAGTGCCAAGAGTAGCATAAGATACCACGTTCCTCCCACCTGGATTTCACAGAGGTCAAGATTTTGCTTCAAATCCTTTTTAATTAGTTTTTGAGTGGTTGATATAGTCACATGGTTTTAAAAATAAGCAAATAAAAAAGAGAATTCAGTGAAAGGTTTTCCTTTCATGCCTTCTAGCCCCTCAATTTCTAAACCATTGTTACTAGTTTATTAGTTTTTTGTATATATTTTTAGATATTTTATGCATATATAAGCAAATAGAAACACATATTCTTCATCCACCCTTTATTCACAAATAGTACCATACCAGGCATACTGTTTCCAAACATCTTGGTTTTTCTAGTCTTGCCATAAATTTTGGAGCATTCTCTGTATCAGTACATAGAGAGTTTTTCATTCTTTTATTTTTTTGCACAGTGTTCCGTTTAGATATTCCATAAGTCTCTTCACCATTAACCTGTTGTTTGTTTGTTTGTTTGTTTGTTTGTTTTTAGAGCTAGAGTCTTGCTCTGTCACCCAGGCTGGAGTGCAGTGCTGTGATTACGTCTCACTGCAGCTTTGGGCACCTGGGCTCAAGCAATCCCCGCCCCCACCAGCCTCCTCAGTAATTAGGCCTTCAGTGTGTCCCATCACACCCTGCCATGAGGTCTTGCTATGTTTCCCAGGCTGGTCTTGAACTCCTGGCTGAACTGATTCTCCTTCCTTGGCCTCCCAAAGTGCTGGGATTACAGACATGAGCCACCTTGGCCACCAGTCCCCTATTAATGGACGTGTAGTTCATTTCCAATCTTTTTTTCTGTTACAAATGGTAGTTTAATAAATAACCCTGTACAGTAGTGTCCCTTCTTATCTGTAGTTTCAGTTATTCAGTCAATCATGGTCCAAAAATACTAAGTGGAAAATTTCAGAAACAATTTGTAAGTTTTAAATTCTGTTATGAGTGGCATGATGAAATCTCATGCTGCCCCATCCTGGACATGACTCATCCCAACTATCTGCACGATATATAAGTTACTTTGCTTCATAGCCATCTAGGTTATCAGATCAAAAATCATAGTATATAGAGGGTTTGGTCATCTGCAGTTTTAGGCATCCAGTGGGGATCTTGGACTGTATCTCCTGTGAATAAGGAGGCACTGCTGTACATGGCTCATTCACACATACACATTTTATCTGTGATATAAATTACTGAAAGCAGAATGGCTGTTCCAAGGGGTAATGTGATTTGTAATTTTGATAACTATTGTAACATTGCCCCCCACTTGATTTTCTAATCCAGTAACTTGAATAACTTCATAGTTTAAAAACCATTAGTACTTTCTTTTCTGAGAAGTCACTGCCAACTTTTCTACTGATTGTTCTCAGTAGTATCTCTTAAAAGTCTGGTTCTCAGACTACCTTCGTTGAATAAACGCTTAACAATTTGTGCCAGCCACTGGTAATAGAGACTGAGCCTTTTGCCTTCCTAGAGCTTATAGTTAACAGGTAAATAAAATGAACATGAATAGAAATGACAAGTAGCATTAGCTCTTAAAAAGAAGTTAAGGATAATTTGGTAGAGAATGACTATTTGTTGAATAGGATGTATGAATTAGAGTAGGCCAAACTCTGATAATAGACTCCCAAAATATGGTAGCTTAAAAAGTACCAAGTTTCTTTCATTTTTTTGTGGAACAGTCCAGAATAGGTGTTCAGGTTAGTGACTGGGCTATCTTCCAGGTCCTGGTCTCCTACCATCTTGTGGTTCCACCGTGCCCTAGGGCCTAGTTATCTACTATGTCCAGCAGGCAGAAGGACTTGGAAGGTATTATTTTGTGTGCCAGGCTAGCAGTGACATATAAGCTTTCATTCACATTCCATTGACAGCTTAGTTAAATGGCCATCGCTAAGTACAAGGGTTGCAGGGAAGTGTTGTGTAGCCATGTGCTCAGAAACAAGAAGAGTCTTGTACACAACCAGTAGCTTCTGCCACAGTGGTTGAGGCAGCATCAGCCAGAGTGGTCAGGGAAGGCTCTGGAGCTGAAGTCATGAAAAAGAGACATGTAAGCAGTAAGAAAATCCAAGAAATAAGAACATTTCTAGGCAGAAGGGAGCCGCGTGTTACTAGCACACTGAGGCATTTGAGAGATTTTGACCCAGGGGAGGAATGCCCTCTTTGGTTGGAACCCAGGTAGCCATGGGTAGGATGGCTGGAGAAGGAGGTTGGAGAAGTGGGCATCAGCCAGATGATGCAGACCATTGTGTGCATTTGGTATTGTTTTGTTTTTCTAAGTGTAGTGAGGAATCATTAAAGGGTTTTAAATAGGGAAGTGATTGGATTTGTGTTATGAAAAGATTGTTCCTGCTACCCTTTGGAGAAGGGCAAGGATGAAAGCAGGGAGTTCATTTAGCGGACTGTTGTGTTAGCCTAGGCAAGAGATGATGGTGGGGACAAAAAGAAGAGGCCAGATTTCGAATCTGTTTCCCAGGTAGATTCATTAGTTCTTGCTCATGGGTTGGACAGAGGCATTTTTGAGCAACTGGGTAGACACTGGTCTTACTGAAAGAAGAAAGATGGAGAGAGGAAGGACATGAGGGGGAAAGTAAAGGCTTCCTTTTGGACCTCCCCAGAATACTTACTATCTGGCTCTTTTCAGTAAATGTTTGCTGACCCCTGGCATAAACAGTGCTCCCGAGGAAAGACAGTGGGTAGTGAAACAGATGAACCTATTTAAGGATATAACTTTCTGAAAATTGCTGCTTTCATGATGAAACTTTTTTGCCCTTGAATATATTTGGAATTTTGTGTTATGAAACTGTCTTAACACATTAAAAGTTTCGAAAACCCTTTCTCCTTGATTAATGTGAGCTAGTTTGCTGGTGTCATCGCTTTTGATGGAAGATTAAAGCTTGGAAACAGTCTCCTGAAAAATCCTTTAAAAAATTTGTTTTTTCAGGTGCGTCAGCAATTTCCTGCTCCTCTTGGTTGGTCAGGCACTGAAGCTCCTACACAGGTCACTGTTGAAACTCATCCTGTTCAAGAAACCACCTTCCATGTAGCCCCTCAACAGAATGCATTGCATCATCACCATGGAAACAGTTCCCATCACCATCACCACCACCACCACCATCACCACCACCATGGACAACAAGCCTTGGGTAACCGGACCAGGCCAAGGGTCTACAATTCTCCAACGAATAGCTCCTCTACCCAAGATTCTATGGAGGTTGGCCACAGTCACCACTCCATGACATCCCTGTCTTCCTCAACGACTTCTTCCTCGACATCTTCCTCCTCTACTGGTAATCAAGGCAATCAGGCCTACCAGAATCGCCCAGTGGCTGCTAATACCTTGGACTTTGGACAGAATGGAGCTATGGACGTTAATTTGACCGTCTACTCCAATCCCCGCCAAGAGACTGGCATAGCTGGACATCCAACATACCAGTTTTCTGCTAATACAGGTCCTGCACATTACATGACTGAAGGACATCTGACAATGAGGCAAGGGGCCGATAGAGAAGAGTCCCCCATGACAGGAGTTTGTGTGCAACAGAGTCCTGTAGCTAGCTCGTGACTACATTGAAACTTGAGTTTGTTTCTTGTGTGTTTTTATAGAAGTGGTGTTTTTTTCCAAAAACAAAGTGCAAAGCTGCTTGAATCAGAAGGAGATTAACACACTGAACCGCTACAAGAGGGCAAAGCTGACTTTTTTTTTTTTTTTAACTTGAAAAGATTGCAAAGGGACATTGAAGTGTTTAAAAGAGCCATGTCCAAACCCATCTTCATGGATAGCTCAGAGGTATCCTCTTTTTGCTCCCCCATTTTAACTTGCCACATCTAGTCCTAATGTTTTTTTTTTTTTTTTTTTTTTTTTTTTTTGTCTTTCTATTCATCAAAAGTTAATGTTCAGATGTTGGTCTTAGTCATTTGCCAACTAATTTTAAAATAAAAGGCACTGCACATAATTTGCATAAAGGGCCCCATGAGGGTGGGTTTTTTTTTTTTTTTTTTTTTTCCTTTTCCTTTCTGTTTTTCCCCCTTTTTGGCTCTGTTTTGTTTTGGGTGGGAAATTTGGGTTTTTAAGTCCTCTAAACACACTTGGGCACGGAAATGCAGTACTGTAAGGAAGAGGGACCTCCAGCTTCCACAAACACCATCTTCAGCTATGTGTATTGAAGTTTGTCAGGCACAGTAAGCATGCTGAGTGGCGGGGATCAGAACTCTCCTATCTGAACCTACTGAGGAGCAAAGCAGCAATTACATGGGATCCTGTGGCTCTCCTGTTGTAGAGGCCACAGGAAGATAGGATGGAACATGACTGGTCTCCTAACCAAGGTGCACTGAGAAGCAATCAACGGGTCAGTCGTGGCCAGTCCTGGGGAGGTCTGAGTGGTGGTCTTTGGGATAACCTTTGGCCTTATGGATTTGGACTCAAAATAAGAAGAGCCTACCATTTCAGATGCAATCACTTTTGGACATGCTTTTGCAGACAGTCCTTAATGCTGAAAACACAGAGAATGGGTAATTCAAGAGGCCTTTCTTTTAAAATAGACTTTTGTGACCCACTAATTGTAAGGTATTGCAAGGTCACTTTGCGTGTGTCATAAAGTTGACTTTCTTATTGGTTGAAGGTCACAGAAGTAGTGGTTTGCTTTGATGGAAATAGCTACAGCTGTGTCCCTTCCTGCTTTTTACTTTTTCTTTTGCTTTTTCTCGGCACGTGGTATCTCCACCATTTCTTCTGCACAAAGATGTCTTCTGTTCATCCTGAACATTTTTAAAAAATGCAGAATTTTATGTGACTGCTTTTTTGCCTCACAATTATGCTGTGAATTTTACAAAAATTTATTTTCTTTTTTGATAATTTATTGTACCAAAGCTGTTTTTATAGCACATAGATGTCTGTAACCAATAATGTAGCAGTTCTGCACTTTGACACAAGGTGTAACTAGACCATTTTTAAATGTCAGTTGAAAATTATGGCTGTACTATTGCTTAAACAAAACTGGAACTGTTGTTGAATCCATAGCCAATACATTTACAGCAATCTGTATACTGAACATAATAGATTGACATCTAATTCAAGATTACAACATCTGTTACATTCTAAATGTGTTCAGGTTTCTGAAGGTAAAGGGACACTGGATCCAGAAGCTATGGAACCAGCAGTTGATTCTTGTATTCCTGATTAACCTACTTGTAAACTTGAAAGCAAGACCTTGATTGCACCAACAGGTCCAGAGTATGAGCTCAAGTAAAGCAGAACTCTCATGCGTGACCTGAGCAGACAGGCTGGTATTTAACAGGTGCCTCGTGTTGAGATAATGCTGCCTTAATGTAACACAGTCTGGCAGTTGCTAAATTTGTGTTCCCATTTTAAATTGACCAATTTTGGGGTGTTATACTTTTGAGCGGTTGAATTGGGAGAATGAAGATAAGTAATTTATCTGCCCAGGATCAAAAGAAGCCTAGAAAAGAAGCAGTAATCTACCTCTGCCGATAACCCTGTTTAAGACGACTCAGTAGAACACCACGTTTCTTTTTATTGGTCAATTCCATGTGGCTGACTAGGTCAATTTTTTTTTTTTCCTGAACAAAAGCAGGTTTTTATATGTAAACAGTGACAAAAGAAAGGCTAAACACTATGTAAATGTGAATGGACACTTGGAAATATTAGTTTTTATAAACCACAAACATTTTTTGTTGTTAATCAGGAAATCCATATTTATTTTGTAATTAAATGTCAAGCCTGTGGATGATTTTTTTGAACTTGATAGTTCATAAAGGTTTACAGTGAATAAAAGGATATCATCTTGAGTATAGCAATATCAAAAGGAATTCAGTAGTTACTGCTGTTTAGGAATATAAGGTTAAGATATCATATGGGTCAGATATCATTTTTTTTTTCTGTGCTGGTTGCCACATCTTAGCAAGCACCAAAAAACTAAAGCAGTTTTAAAAACCAATATTTACATAAAGAAAATCATAAAATCCAATGCTTCTGCATACTGTGTTATGTTACAGTCCAGTTTTGTGTGCTTTACTACACAGTTTGGTTACAGGACTTCTGTGCATTGTAAACATAAACAGCATGGAAAAGGTTAAATACCTGTGTTCAGATTGTAAGATCTAGTCCGGACTTGCTGTGTATATTGTAACGTTAAATGAAAAAAGAACCCCCTTTGTATTATAGTCATGCGGTCTTATGTATGATAAACAGTTGAATAATTTGTCCTCAGACTCTTTACTATGCTTTTTTAAAACTAATTTAAGAAAAATGTAAACATAGTAAAAATATTCCTATGCAATTCACCTGGTCCAGGTCTGGTAGGTATACTATCAAAGTTGAGTTAAATGTGTAAAAAGGAAACTATGTGACATACATCAACGTAGGCATCAGCAATCTCTGAAAGTAAAAATTGGAGGTTTAACAGATCATTTTGATTTTTCACATTGATTTTTTTATATGAATGCTTAGTAACAATTTTTCTGTGGTTCAAAATGCTATTATTTTAGTTGGTAGCATTTAGAGTGGATAGGAGGGTCTGGTGGTTTTCTTTAATAAGCTTTGACGTGCTTGGATGAAGGAGGGAATATGAATACTCTTCCTCCTTCCCCAAATCCTCATACAGGGGCATATCAGGGACTCTCTTGTACACATTCTAGAATTCTTGCCATAGTGATTCAGTTTCTAACCTAAAGTCTTCTCTTCTTGCAAATTAACCTGCATCAGTATAAAGGTGGCTTTCAAAAGGTAAGATACTTATTTAAAAAGTTCTGTGAGTCTGTAAAATTAAGGTTGGTTTTGTATAGTTGAAGTTCACCACATGTAAGAAAGGAAACCTGCTTTTTCTTAGGGTGTGAGAATTTTACTTAGGTAAAGGGCACATTTTATGATATTGGGCTGAAAAAAGAACAATATATAGAACTACATGTAAGAAAAATCATGAAGGATGCAGTAATTCTGTTAGGCCCACAAGTGGCCATTGAGCTTGCCCTGTAGTGTTTCCCAGCTTTTGTGGTGTTGAACTTACTGTTCCATTCTTCCAATAGGGAGGTACAGAATCAAAATACACAAAAAGGTGAGATAGCAGGCACTCGGTTCAAGCCCAGTTTCTCAGTTTCCTTTTGGCCTGCCTTTATTTTGGTTGCCCTCAGAATGTAAGTTCATACGCGATCCAGTGCATTCAGGTGGTATGCTTGTAGACAGAATGCAAGTTTGACTAATTTTATGTTCATTTTTATAGTGGTAGACTGTATGTAATAGACCAGATGGTTCATTCCAAATACATGACTTGGTCTTAGTGCCACATAGGAAGGAAGATTGAAAATGGAGACAAAAGCTGTGGGTGACTGCGGTATACCAAGACTGTATTCAGATTTCTTAAAATCTGCTAGGGATGTCTGTTAACCAGACGTTGGAAAACCTTTCATGTCGGAGAATAGAGGAGAAGCTCTGGTTTTCATAACCCTGGCTCCTTATCTAGGCCTGTTTCCTCGGATGAAAACATACGTCAGCGAGTAATTTGTAGTACGAAGAACAAGAGAAGAAACCCTAAGAAAATAGCTTATTTGTTATCTTCCCTGTTAATGACTAACCTTACTCCAAACGAATCCTCTGAGAACCTGCTGGGCTTTCACCCTGGACCAGGAATTCTTGACGTATGCCTGAGTTTAAAGCACTGGATCCTTGTTTTGTGGAAGGCGTGTTCAGTGAGGTAAGTGGTTCATCGGTTTGTGTGTATCCTTCCTTTCGGCATTTTGCATAGCCAAGCTGCGAGATTACAGCTGCTCTCGGAAATGATAGAGCACCAGGGTGTTCTTGCATTAGAACTTGCATCAGAACACTACCTTCACATGAGACTGCCAGGCATTTGTCAGTATTTATTTCTAATTTCCTACTTTAAAGTCGCTCAAGACAAGGTATTTCTCCAACTGGATACTGATTTAAACACACAGTAACTAGAATGCTACAGGTCTCTTTTCCAATATGCAGCTGCTTTATCTGAAAACATATCCCTGAATTTCCCATCTTTAGGGTATGTCCCTGTTATAAACAGTCAGGGGTGGAATTAATGTGGGTAATTTCCATTTCAGTTGAATTTCCTGCCATCCCCAGCAAAACCCGTGAATGCTCCTTCAAAGCATTGAGGAGGCAGAGACAAGCCTTAAACCGGCTTCCTTTTGTTTTTGCCAGGTAGCCTGGTTCCATCCCAGCTGGGTCCTGAAGGAGCACAGTACTAGAGCCTGAGTCATGTTGACTCATAAAGTACATTAACTTCAGGTTAGGCAAAGTGGTGGCAAAAGTTGAGGATGCAGGAGCAAGGAAACGGCGGTCAGGTGGAGCACAGCCCTGTTGGCATCGGAGACGAGGCTGAGCGATGCTGTAGGGGGCCTGGTCAGCGAGTTCTCATAGCCAGAGAAAGGCCGAGTAGGTTTTAGTGCTACTGTGTTTTGTCTGTTTGAAAGATCAGTTATTTGGTAATCTTTCCAGTTACATTTCTAAAATGGCTACCTTTGGGGTTTTTTTCTTTATTCCTCCAAAATTTTGCTCCCAATATATACTCATTCATTAGTCAGTGTACTTGCCCCTGAATTCTGTGCCTAAAACTGCAGTCAAGGGGAGATTCAGAGCCAAGGGCAAAAATAAAGTGGCGGCTCTGGGCGTGTGTGGTGGTCACTCACTAGGGCAGCCAGGAGCAGCCAAGCAGGTGTGTCGGGCGGGGAGTTGCTAATGAACACCCAGGCAAGAAGACGGGCCTGAGCCTGAGTGTGGTCAGTATGAAATGTTGAGTTGCTTATAAGAAACCCTAGGATGATGAACTGTGAATCCTCCACTCACCTTTGCATAGAAAAACTGCAGAGAAGTGCACTGGTGGGGTCGGGGTGAGGACGGGGTTTGTTAACTCCCTCAGATGAAAGAAAATATCTCTAGTGGCGTGAGAAGGTTTTTTTTTTTAGTTCTTTTTAGAGACATTGGCTTTGTCATCCAAACTGGAGTTTAGTGGTGTGATCACAGTTCACTGCAGCTTTAAATGACTGGGCTCAGATGATCCTCCCACCTCAGCCTCCTGAGTAGCTGGGACTACGGTGCACACCACCCCGCCTGGCTACTGTTTTTAATTTTTTTAGAGAGATGGGGTTTTGTTAAGTTGCTCAGTCAGTCCTCAAACTCCTAGCCTCAAATGATCCTCCCGCCTGGGCCCCTCAAACATAAATAGGGTGAGTGTGGTGGCTCACGGCTGTAAAGATTTCAAGCGGTGAAATAGCTTGAGAAAGCGTTTTTATGTGCATCACAGATGAGCCTTGTTCTGCCAAAGAGGTGATGCCTCAAAGTGGGGAGGAGGTCACCTAGGCACCACTCCCACTTCCATTGCCTGCAAATCCAGGAAAGAGATGACAGGAACTCCAGTGATCTCAAAGTGCTAAGTCAGTACTCATCAATGCAAAATGAGTTTCCAACCTTGCTGCACATTAAACTCATCTGTAGAACTTTATAGAACCACAGATGCCCATCACACTGGCAGTGTTTTAGATTCAGAGAGCTGGGGTGGGGCCTGGAGCTCTGTGTTTTCTGAAACTGCAGGCGGTTCTGAACCTGCAGCTAGGCAGGACTCGGGCAAGAAGAGGCATGTGGCTAATGTGACAGAAAGACGTCTGAGTCCAAGAACTTTTTTTTGAGAGTCTCACTCTGTCTCCCAGGCTGGTGTGCAGTGGTGTCATCTGGGCTCACTACAACCTCCATTTCCCAGATCCAAGCGATTCTCGGGTCTCAGCCTTCCGAGTAGCTGGGATTACAGGTGCACACCACCGCACCCATTGTATTTTGGGGTTTTGCCATGTTGGCCAGGCTAGTCTTGAACTCCTGACCTCAAACTATCTACCCACCTCAACCTCCCAAAGTGCTAGGATTACAGATGTGAGCCACCACACCCAGCCCTAAGAACATCTTGAAATGGAGTTTGATTACCAAAGTTTACGTAGAGTAAGGGATAATTAAAATTTATAATTTATAGTGCATTACAAAATGTTATAAAGCTTCTGAGAAAGGCAGAAATGGCCAGATGTGAGTATGTAAAACTTAGACAATTTGTTCCTTTCTGTCATCTTTCCTTGTGGAGATGGGTCAGTGTGACATCTATTCATTAATAGCTCTCAGATGTCCCATGAGAATGGCATGTGTTATTTCCCAGCACTGGGAGTGGAATTGGTTCCTTTATACCTCAGTCTCATTTGGTCTTGTAAGCTGGTGAAGGGTTCCCCAGGGCACCAGCCATCAGCTCTGTGAAGTAGTTACAGTTCCCCTCTGTAGAATCCCAGAGGGGTTCAGATCCCGCTGGTCCTCTGATTGACTTTGTGACCCTGGGCTCACTGCTTTACTTGTCCAAGGATCACTATTTTCTTTGTAAAATGGAGATACTTGTAGTGTCTATTTAGGGGATGCCGTGCACACCTCAGTGAGGTAATGTGCACAGAAAGCACAATACCTAGTATGTAGGAAGTGTCCAATAAATACATTATGTTGCTAAACAGAGCCGAGGCAACAGCCTGAATGGAACCTCCTTTTTCTATGTAAACATGACAAACAGTGAAGGGAAATTAGGTGAGCAGCATTCTCCATGGACACTTAAATAGGATTGCTTTCCAGCTTAATTTTATTTTTGGAGTGTGGGACCAGGTGTTAACTTTCCTTTACTAGTTGGTTTTGCCTACTGCACAGTCCCTGTGTCTATTTTAGTTTTGAGGTTTGTTGTGGGAAGATTTTTGGTAGTTTCCTTTGCCTTGATAAAATAGATGATATTTACATGTTTTGTAAGGATGGGTTTTCAGTAGAATTTTTCTATATAGCCTCAAGGAGACTGCCTGGAGGAATAACTGCGGCAAGGGTCTGTGTTTGAACAGGCATTGTCCTTAGACCCTGGTGATCACGTGTCCAGGGATGAGTCCCCACCCCTTGCTCCCACTCCAAGGAAAGTCTTACATTTTAGCCTTCAGAGGTTTGATGTAGATCAGGGAGCGAAGAGTGTGACAATAATCAGTTCTTCAGTTTATAAATAAATCAGATATTGGAATTTATAGGTTGTAACCTACATTTTGAAAGCAGGAACTGTTTTTTTTCTTCTGTTTACTTTGTTGATAACATGAGGTGACTACATCGAGTCTGGGTTCTCTCAGTGTTAGCCTGTTACCCCTGAAGTATCCTCCTCTCCTTATATCAAACATAAGGACAAAAATGCCTT